TTGGTGTTATTTTACTTGTATCTTACCATTGCTATTTAGGACTGCATTACTATTAATATTATTATTATTATGTAATTAATATTTAACGTTGGTAAGTTAGACTTATTTCATCAATCCAGAAAGCGTTGTGCTTATAATGACATAAAGTATATTTATTCATTAATTATCTTTTATTTATCTAACGTATTATTATGCAGTGTGCTACTTATATCGTTATGAGTAGTATATAACGTTATTCAAGAATAGAGTGTCTGGTAGTAGAAGGTCGAGAAGGAAAGAACGGAAACAGAATGCAATTAGTATGAAAATGCAGAAACAATGAAGTCTGCGAAAATTGATTGACATTTACAAATTAAGTATTTACTGTATGGTTCTCAGATTTTACTAAGATGTTCTATAATTTCATGTGTTCAAATACATTTTGACTGTCCCCATTTGTATTGTCTTTCACTACACTACAACGGCTTACATAGAGGTAGGCTAGAGAAAGGCTGTGGATGCAGAGTATAATATCTGTATGGATAAACTACATTAATAGTCCCTGGAAAAAGATGTAGGAAGTTGTATACTTTTTCGTTGACATTTCGTGAGTTAATTATCATATGTCTATAGAAATTTTGAGTGATATATGCTGAAGTTTGTGCGAATGCACATATATTTCATTAAGTTCTTTTAGATTTTGAGTTTTAGTATTGTTTCATACTGTGAATGAAATATAGTAGCACTGTTATCTGATCAACTACTTAGTCCATATAATCATTAACATGTTTAACCGGTACTGGATTCAACTCTTAGTATGATAATCGACAGTAGAATACAAGTCTACCTATGTGATGAGTCCTAAAAGGAATGAAACAGACATTCTAGATTATATTACTAACCTCAACCTGTATACTAAGAAAAAATTTGTAACGAAATGGTAATATCAAACCGTTTTTCCTCTCGTAATGAACATATGCTAATAGAATGTGATCAATTGCAGTCCTTCATGTCAACAGCTGAAAACGAATGTCTATAAATTACTAATGAGAGTCATTATATCCTGAAGATACCACAGGTATTTTGAGTTAAATAACATTTTAACCAGTAACACCTTCTACTATAAATCATACTCACCTAGTGAAATTAAAAGTCAGAAGTGAAGAGGTTTGAAGATATATTTGATAGGCTATCAGGATATTAAGAATCAAATAATCTAGACTAGCTAGCGATTGTAGAGGATGTTGAGCATAGCGTTCCCACTCATGATCTGGTGTGAATGCATGACCGAGCGCCATCTGCTAGATGAATCCATTAAAACTAATGTGATAAGCATCCAAATGTCGAAGAATTATAGATCTGATTGAAATCATGAGACAATTGAAACTAGACCACCACGGAAAACCTGGAAGTACTGGACGGCCGTTTCGTCTCAGTATGACACTCCTCAGCAGTGTGCACACAGGATCCCGCCTTGCGAGATTCGAACCCAGGGCCTATCAGTCTCGCGCCAGCCGCTTAACCAACTAGACTACTGAGTCGGCTGGCATCCAATGGTGTTAATGTCTAACTTCAAACAATCCACGAAGTTGCGCTACCGTATACCATTGTTTTCAGTGAGCTGATATTTCACAGCAGACCTGGTTGAACTCGACTGGTAACGGCTTCTCACTAGAACTCCAGGAGTATCTTCTGAAATCAGTCACTAGTGAGCAGATGATTATTATCCGAAGGGGTTTGTGGAGATTTTAGAAATTTCACAGATTGAAATCATGAGTCAATTGAAGCTAGACCACCATGGAAAACCTGGAAGTACTGGACGGCCGTTTCGTTCTAGTATGGGACTTCTCAGCAGATTTACATCCATTGATTCTGGGGATTTATTAACCTCTACAATACATACGTGAAGAGGGTTCATGTGATTGATATCTTGTTAATCATTTTGAATGTATTACCTTTTTAATGTAAGAACTGCATGTTTCTATTCATGATCATATGTCATTGAACATATCATCAAATAACTTCTAGTCATTTTCATAGATTATACATTTTATTAATTAACAATAATTAGGACAAAATGAAACGAAGAATTACAAAAAAGCCATGTGATTGTCAGTTATGTATTTCATAAGTGTTTGAGTACTATACAAGTCAATGAGTTAGGATATTTGATTTATTCATATTCAGTGTACTAGTTATAGGCATAGATACACATGACTAATCATGAGTTTCCGTTTTAGATATTATCGACAAATATTTCTGGTATTGAGTTTTCTGAGTTTTTAATTGAATAGTGTTAGATGAAAGGAAAGTCTTTTCGATCTAAATTTCGGGTTGTTTGAAACATTTGTCGATAAGTTGTACTTACAGTCTTGGAGAAACTGATAATCCCTGTGGAATTCGATCCCATGTCGCATGACTCTATAGACGAAGATTACTTACTTACTTACTTACGCCTGTTACTCCTCGTGGAGAAGCATAGGCTGCTCATCAGCGTTCTCCATCCAACCCTGTCCTGAGCAATCCTTTCCAGCTCCTTCTAGTTGTTATTCATCTTTTTCATATCTTCCTCTATTTCATGACGTAATGTGTTCCTTGACCTTCCTTTTTTCCTCTTCCCTTCAGGATTCCAAGTTATGGCTTGCCTCGTGATGCAGTTTGACGATTTGCGTAATGTATGTCCTATCCATTTCCATCTTCTTTTCCTAATTTCTTCTTCAGCTGAAAGCTGGTTTGTTCTCTCCCACAAAAGGCTGTTGCTGATGGTATCCGACCAATGGATGTTGAGTATCTTGCGTAGACAACTATTTATAAATACTTGTACATGTTTGATGATGGTTGTTGTAGTTCTCCAAGTTTCAGGTCCGTACAGTAGACAGACTAAGATGCTGCCGCTAAAACCTCCGACGTGCGATTGACCACCTGTAAGACTAAGGCATTTATGCCTTGTTAGCAAACCCCAACCAGCTATCACTGATATTTACGACACTATCATCATTGTTTGCATTATATAGAGATGATTTTTCAGTCATTATTTGTACGTATATATCAAGTTATTTGAATCAGATAGCCTTATCCATGACTGACTTTCCAAGTAATTTTTATTTCCTTCATTTTTGTTAGTTGTCTTTTTCTGTTTATGAAATGAATGAAGAACTTTGACTCTAAGTATAGTAGGCTTTAGTAATGCCATTCAGAATAGAATCGGAAAAACATTTTACTCATTGAACACAGCACTACAGAAAGTATCTCTCATTAAAACAAAAAGCTTTGATGGTTTTCAAATGCATGATATCTATAAAATCTGCTGTCTATCTGAATTCTAATAAATGTAATTTGCTGGAGTTCTAGTGAGAAGCACTTACCAGTGGAGTTCAACCGGGTCTATTGTGAGATAGTAACTCAGTGAATGGTAGATGTGTTGCTCAATTTGGTGGATTAGTTGAAGTTAGACATTAACACCATTGAATGCTGGCCAACACGATGGTCTAGAGGTTAAACGTTCGTGTGCGACACCGATAGATCCTAGGTTCGAATCTTGCGAAGCGGGATCATGAATGTACACTACTGAGGAGTCTCATAATAAGACGAAACGGGCGTTTTAAATGGTGGGCCAACTTCAATTGACTCATGATTTCAACTGTTGAAATTATTAAAATCCTCATAAAAGCCCTTCTGATTCAATATGTGTTGTCTTAGATATGCTGTTCAAGTTAATTAGGTGAAACATTTAATTGATGATGTCTGGAAGTATCATGCTTATCAATGGATAAAACAAAGTTATATCGGCTCAAATTGCATTGAAGTCCACTATAAGAAACTATAAACAGTACATAGATAGATTAAAGAAAATAATATAAGGCGAACAGTTGTTGTTAACAGTTATACAAATATAAGAACTGGAATAAAGTTTACAATGTCCAAACAATATCACTTTGTTACTTGATTGTCTAATAGTATTATAATTCCTAGAAGAGAAAAAAAAACAAATAACCTCTGACTTGTGAGTTCTGGGCTCATTTTGTTTTAACCCAATCAATGTTGATTATTTCAGAAATTTCCAGTTTCATTTACAATCTACAATCTTATCTAAATTACTATAGAAGATCTTGAAGCATTGAACAATCATCTTATTCTAATATAAGATACACCAGTAGTAGTGTTTATGTACAAACTTAAACACAGAAATCTATATCTAAATACTTCATTTACACTTGTGAACAGTTAATCACTAAAAGATCCTATAAGGTAGGATCATGGATGCTTATTATTGATGAATCTCATAATAGGATGAATTGACCATCTAGTACTCGTATATCCTGGGACCATCAAGTAAGTAATGCAGTTGTTAGGAAACGGGTACTAGGTAAGGATGGCAAATCAATTGATGACGTAGTGAAACTTCATCAGTTGAGATGACTGGGACACGTGTTACGTATGCCCAACCACCGACTTCCTCGACGTGCGATGTTCAGTGGTATAGGAATAGGTTGGAAGGTAGCTAGGGGTGGCCAGACCAAAACATGACACAAGTCCATGAAGTCACTGACAAGTGAACTGAATCATGTTGGTAGGTGTAGACTACCTGGTTGGGGACCGCGAGAGGATAGCAACCGATGGTTAGAGACTCTGAATGACATGGCTCAAAATCGTTTGCAATGGCGCAAGTGCATACACTCTTTGTGTTCTCCTGAATTTTGATCTCCTTATTCCTCCTTGTCTCTTTTTTCTCCTCTCAAATTTATTTCACTGGATTATACTCTTTAAATAACATCTCCAAACACTAATCTTTCCGATTACTGCTTATACTCTTACTACCTCTACCACTACGAGATTTGAATCGACCACTGCATCTCTGTGCTAATGTGGTGTGGCAACTCGAACTGATGTACGTACGTACAAAGTTCTACGTTGTTACTGACTGACTGACTTCCAGGTTTTCAATAACGTCATCAATTAGATTCATGATCTCAATGAATTAAAAAGAAAAGAGAAAAGGAAAGTTAATATTGATCACTTACATTGATCATTTTGATACATTTCATCAATAAATGGTAATTGATCTAATCGATAAAAATAATTTTTTAATTTTTCTATTGAAATTGATTTCACATTGATATATTGATTATTAATGATCCCATAATTTGGTGTACTTTTATATAATTTTTTATATGATGATGATGATGATGATGATGATGAACATAAACTAACAAATGTTGACATCATAAGAATATTATAACTAATATCAATCATTGAAAATATAATGGATCTATTCAATGATCTAAGATGATGTTGTTTAACACGAAGAAATGGATCACTTTCTTGATCCACTATGTAGATCTAGATATATCAATTAATGAAGATCAAATAAGAAATACAATAGAGTATAATTTGAATTTGAATTGTATACTATTAGGATCAAAATTATACAGTTAAACAAATCATTCAATGATTCAATGAATAAAAGAAGGAAGAAGTGTTTACACTAGGAAAAATTTAAATTTTATAAATCATGTGTTCAGTGAATTGATTTTTTTTGTTGTTGGTTTATTGATTATTGATTTTATGCACTCAAATAATTTATATTGATATTAATAGGAAGAGATAATCAATAATTATGTAATTTTGGATAAGCGGCCTGTTTGAGTATCTGGGCTACATGTTTCTGCTAAACTAGATACTTCAACAAGTTATCTATTTTTTTGTTTGTTTTAATATATGTCATGATGTCTGTTCATTGCATAACACCATTCTGGTGCACTTCTAAAAAGTGTACAACTTTTCATTGTCAAAGTTACAAAAAGCCCAATAGCAGATAATGTGGTTGCTGGTAATATGCAACGAAAAGAATATACATTATTCAGATGTTCATTTACTGGACTGCTAACATCTAACTGGCGATCATTCAAGGATCAACCAAGAAATAAGAAACGGAAACTTGTTGAAATAATTTGTGCTGAGAATTCTATATTGTACCGAAAATATAATACTGAATAATGCTTATAATAATAATAATAATCACAATAACTGCTTCTCAATAGAACTCCAGGATATACATCTTGAAGCCCGTCACTAGTGAGCATATGTTGATTAATATCAGAAGCGGTTTTTGTGGATAGTATAGTTAAGATTATGAGTTAATTAAACCTAGACCATCATGGATAACCTGGAAGCATTGGACGGTCGTTTCGCCCTATTGTGAGATTCCTCAACAGTGTGTATCCATGATCCCGCTTCGCAAGATTTCATTAATATTTTATAATAATATTTATTATAAATAATTATAAAATAAATGTAAGTTAATTATTTTATTTTTCACAGGTTGAAATCATGAGTCAGTTGAAGCTAGACCACCATGGAAAACCTGGAAGCACTGGACGGCCGTCTCGTCCTGGTATGGGACCTCTCAGCAGTGCGCATCCACGATCCCGCACCACGCGGGGCTCGACCCCAGGACCTACTGGCTTCGCGCGCGAGCACTTAACCACTAGACCACTGAGCCGGCAACCAATAGTGTTAATGTCTAACCTCAACCAATCCACTAAGTTGCGCCACCGTACACCATTGTCTTCAGTGAGTTGTTATCTCACAACAGACCTGGTTGAACTCCACTGGTAACGGCTTCTCACTAGAACTCCAGGAGTTTTTCCTGAATTGGCAAATTGGTTCATATTTACTCAAGGCATGAATGGTTTAATTTGTTTATTCTGGCTAGTGATTTGTATTTTTTAGCAAGGTTATTTTCTATGGGATAAAGTTGTCAACTTCATGTCTAACCCTTCTTCTTTATCCGGGATTTGAATTGTGACAGTAACCCTAGAAGAGCTATAAAGCGGTATTAATAATATATAAACATACTGTTGGTTATTAATGATTAATTAAGTTATATTATTAAGGAAAAATAATATTTTGACAGAGAGAGGTTTTGTGGATATTATGGTAATTTAGTAATTGAATTCATGAGTCCATTGAAGCTAGACCACCATGGATGCTGGTTCAGTGGTCTACAAGTTAAGAGTTCGTGAGCGAGACTAATAGATCCTGGGATCGAATCTCAAGAGGCGAGATCATGAATGCGCACTGTTGACGAGTCCCATATTAGGACGAAACGGCTTTCTAGTGCTTCCAAGTTTTCCATCGTGGTTTAGCACCAACTGACTCATGAATTCTACTAATAAACTAGATATCTAATTGTTTTTATAGAAAAGATGTATATTAGTCAACAATGGAACTCATATAATCTATCAATATTTTACTTACTTACTTACTTACTTAATTACTTACTTACTTACTTACTTACTTACTTACTTACTTAATTACTTACTTACTTACTTACTTACTTACTTACGCCTGTTACTCCAAATGGAGCATAGGCCACCGACCAGCATTCTCCAACTCACTCTGTCCTGGGCCTTCCTTTCTAATTCCATCCAATTCTTGTTCATTTTTCCCATGTATGTCTCCATTTCTCAGCGTAATGTGTTCATTGGTCTTCTTCTTTTCCTTTGACCTTGAGGATTCCATGTGAGGGCTTGTCTTGTGATGCAGTTGGGTGCTTTCCTCAATATGTGTCCTATCCACTTCCAGCGCTTCTTCCTGATTTCTTCCTCCGCTGTGATCTGATTTGTTCTCTCCCATAGTAGGTGGTTGCTAAAATATTGAAAACGCTAACCAGAAATTAATATTTTATAACAAGTTATATCTATAATAACTACTTAAATATTTTTTTTAGCGATATTTATGATACACATATCCATCAGTTAATATATTTTCGTTAATAAGTATTGTCTATTTACTAAATACAAACTTCAATGTAGAGTAGGTTGTTACTAACGAAGATTATCTTTTGGTATTAGATTCATTAAAGATGTATAAGTTAAAAAGCAAATATTCCAGACGATGAGACCATTAAGAAACATTCAACAAGAAATACAGATAAGAAGCAAAAATCCACAGTTTGGTTGGATCAAAATACATTAACCCGTTAAAGGCAAACAAACTTTCGAAATAAAATAATAGTTACTTATAAGTAATATGATGTAGTAATACTGAATTAGATGTTGTAACAAATAATCATCATCGAATCGATGATGATAGGTTCAATGTCAGTAAATTGGTTGTAGCTTCTGTAGCCACTAAATATAAAACCGAGCTAGGTTCAAGGGTAGCTACCATTCCACCAAAAAGTATATATGAGCATTGGTTGCAATTACATGACGCCATGAAAGTGATGAACAAAGTCGTTTTCGAAATGTCCCGCTGAATTTCTTCAGGCTCCTTATAACTCATTGAAGCCCGTCGGTCTACACCTGAAGACCACAAGTTTGACTATAAACAAAGATTGTTACGCAATGAAATTGGGCAAAGACCGAGAAGCCTGGTGGTTGGAGTGTGCCAACGAATTGGAAGCAGTAGCTGCCTCTGGTAACTGCCGCAAGCTCTTTCAATTCATCTGAGGCACTGGTAGCAAGAAGTCTGGTGTGAGCAGAACAATCTGTAAAAATGACGAGATGATAATCACTAACATCTGTCGACGTCTTGGACGATGGGCAGAGTTTTTCGAGGAGCAGTTCAACTGGCCTGCTGCCCCAACAACATCGATCAGACTGTCCTGCCCTCCATGGCCTGTGACGACTGATTCACCTAATGAGGTAGAAATCGTCAAGAAACTTCAACTCTTGAAGCGCTGCAAATCACCAGGTTCATAAAACTTACCTCCTGTCCTTTTTAAAGATAATGGTGACTTTCTGGTCAAGGAACTGTTTGAGTTGTTTACAAAGGTTTGGAAGTTAAACAGTGTTCCAACATCATGAAATGAGTCGATAGTTGTCCTTATCTTTATAAAGGGTTTACGTCTTTTCTGTAACAACTGTCGAGGGATAAGTCTACCCACAATTGCGTCCAAACTATTGGCTTCCTTCATAATTCGTAGACTGTTTGAAACCCGAGAAAGATTGACTTTCGAGGAACAGGCTAGTTTTCGTTCTGGACGAGGATGTATTGATCACATCTTCACCCTCCGTTAAATGTTAGAAATCATTTGGAATAAAATGAATCAAACCAAATCTTCCTATCAGTTCAATAAGTTATTGATTTTTGGATGAAGTTGTGTTAATAGGTGTATACTCAAAAAAGAGGTTATAGTTGCACAGATATATTCATTTTATAAGTTTTTTAAATATTGAGTCTCCACTTATATTTGAATCTTCTTTAGAAAACCCAATTCTTATGGTTGATCTTATTAAACAGATAGGTATTACTATCGATTCCATATATTTTGTGTATACATTGTTCAGATGTACATTTCAAGCATAGTTTATATCGTTTTGATAGATTAACTTGTAATTAATCTGTGAACTATTAAATACACATAAAGTAGATACAAATTTTGTGATTCAATATATCAGTAGTTGAAATCATGAGTCAATTGAAGCTAGACCACCATGGAAAACCTGGAAGCACTGAATGGTCGTGAGCAGTGGCGTTCACCCTGGTCTGTTGTGAGATATCAGCTCAGTGAAGACAATCGTGAACGGCGATGAAATTTCGTGGATTGGTTGAAGTTAAACATTAACACCATTGAACACTGACCAACTCAATGGTCTAAAGATTAAGCGTTCGCGCGCAACACTGATAGATCCTGGGTTCGAATCTGGCGAGTGGGATCATGATTGTGCACTACTGAGGAGTCTCACAATAGGACCAAATGGGCGTCTAATAATCCCGAGTTTTAAATGGTGGTCCGACTTCAATTGACTCATGATTTCAACTGTTGAAATTAATAAAATCTTCACAATGGTCCTTCTAATTCAATACATGTTGTCTTAGATATGCTGTTGAAATTAATCATGTGAAACATTTAATTGATGATGTTTGGAATTATCATGCTTATCAATGGATAAAACAAAGTTATATTTTATGGAACTATGAAATTTTTCCGTACAATCAGTATGATAACATTTAATGCCTAATCGTTCATAACTTACCTACTTACACATGTTACCGCTCCTCGAGGAGCATAGGCGGCCCATCGGCATTCTTCATACAACACTGTCGTGGACAATCCTTTCCAGTTATTTCCAGTCGCTGTTCATTCTTTTCATGTCTGCTTACAATTCCAGATTCAGTGTGTTCATCTGCCTTCCTCGTTTCATTTTCCATTCAGGATTCTAAGTAATCACTTGCCTCGTGATGCAGTTCGATGATTCCCGTAATGTATGTCCTATTCACTTCCAACGTCTATCCCTAATTTCTTCCTCAGCTAAAAGTTGGTTTGTCCTCTCTCATACTAGGCTGTTGCTGATGGTATCCGATCAACGGACAATGATTATCCTACGTGGACAATTGTTTGTAAATACTTGTACTTTCTTAATGATTGTTGTAGTAGTTCTCGAAGTTTCAGCTCCATACAGTAGAACTGTCTTGACGTTGGTATTAAAGATTGTGACTTTAATATTAGTTAAAAGTTGTGTTTCGTCACATACGTTCTAAAATTGAAAGAATGCGGTCGTTGCTTTGCCATTCCTTAACATTATATCTGTATCAGCTCCTTGTTATTTATTGACGATTCTTCCCAGGAACGTGAACGTTTCCATCTCTCTTGGTATGTGATTATTAAACGTAAAAGTAGTAGTAGTAGTAGTAGTAGTAGTAGTAGTAGTAGTAGTAGTAGTAGTAGTAGTAGTAGTAGTAGTAGTAGTAGTAGTAGTAGTAGTAGTAGTAGTAGTAGTAGTAGTAGTAGAAGTAGTAGTAGTAGTAGTAGTAGTAGTAGTAGTAGTAGTAGTAGTAGTAGTAGTAGTAGTAGTAGTAGTAGTAGTAGTAGTAGTAGTAGTAGTAGTAGTAGTAGTAGTAGTCGTAGTCGTAGTCGTAGTAGTAGTAGTAGTATTAGTAGTAGTATTAGTAGTAGTATACTTTTCATTAATATATCACAATAGCTTTAGATGTGTTGTTGTTTGTTTGTTTTCATTCATGAAATGACTCACTAATGAGCAATTGTTTTGTTGTTTTGTTGTTTTTCTCTTTTTCAAATAAACAATGAACTTCATTGAAGATTCATTAAAGGTCACGGTCAACAATATGAATCATTCAATTAGTGATAAATCACAGTTTGACTAGATACTGATGACCCATTTATTTATTTATTTTCAATTAATAAAATCATTTTCTGTTTATTTGAATAGTTTAATTATGATTAACCTTAAAATTCCTTTTTTGGGGGGAAGGGGGGTGGTTGGGGTAGTGAAGAGTTGTAGGACAATCACTTATTCAACTGGCGTCGATAGGACAATCACAGTAGTTGATAACTTGAATGATCAATATTCCCTATTGCGTTATTGATGAAATTGACTTTTGACCTTTCTATTTTTTTATTTTAAGTGGATTTTCATGTTAATGAATAACGGATGGTTGAATATACTTAAACATGTAGTTAAAAAGTATTTGAAATAGAAGTGAATAAAAGATAGATAATCTATGTTGAATGATTGAAGGCCTACTTGAATTAGACGAGAACGGTGTGACAAACTAGCTAAATTCGAAGTCACATTTTAAGGTCAACATTTGATGTGGATTACTCCATCGACGTATCAGAGTACTATGGTTCCTATAAAGACCGTATAACACAGAAGACGTTTTTAAAGAAATATATTAATAAGATAGTGAGACCACCACCGTATGCGCCAGTCTATGACATTCAATCAACTGATGCGCGTTGGTTGTCCTTGACTTTGATTAGGATCGATGATCTGTTCGATATGCAGTGACACAAACTGCTGAATGATTTGGCTAGGCCTCAGTGACATTTCACTTGCCCTATAATAGCAATACAGACTACTTGTAAAATCCTTTTTTGCAGGTTTTGTGTGTGTGTGTGAAAATCCTTCCATACAAACACTTGTAATTTGTTCCTATTGATTTCTCTCGTAATACATGTTGTTAGTCTTTTTGATTCCATTCGAGATTGTAATATTTGTATTTTATTACATACTCACTTACTTACGTCTGTTACTCCCTAATGGAGCATAGGCCACAGATCAGCATTCTACAACACACTCGATCCTCGGCATTCCTTTTCAGTTCTGTCGAATTCTTGCTCATTCTTCTCATGTCTGTCTCCATTTCTCAGCGTATTCTGTTCTTTGGTCTTCCTTATCAACCCCTTTGACCTTGAGGATTCTATATGAGGGCTTACCTTGTGACGCAGTTGGGTGATTTCCTCAATGTGTGTCCTATCCACTTCCAACGTTTCTTCCTGATTTCTTTCTCCACTGGGATCTGATTTGTTCTCTCCCATAGTAGGTTGTTGCTGATAGTATCTGGTCAACGGATCCGAAGTATTTTGCTAGACAGCTGTTAACAAGCATTTGTATCTTCTGGATGATGGTATTCGTAGTTTTCAAAGTTTCCACCTCATACAGTAGAACTTTCTTGACATTTGTATTGAAAATCCTAATCTTGGTGTTGGTTGACAATTGTTTTGAGTTTCAGATGTTCTTCATTTGTAGATATGCTGGTACTGCTTTGCGGATCCGCACCTTCACACGTGTATCAGATCCATCGTGTTCATCAATGATGCTGCACAGATATGTGATGGTTTCTGCATATTCCAAAGTTCCTCCGTCAAGTGTGATTCGATTGTTGTATGCTGTGTTGTATCAGAGAATCTTGCTATTCATCCACCTACTAATTAGAATTAAATGAAGTTTATAAACCAGTGTGAGGAATTAGTATTATGATTTACAGTTGATGGTTAAGGTTAAGAATTAGATTTGGGTTTTTTATCTTGAACTGATATAAGCTAAACTGTCAAAACTCTTCCGAAATCTTCTCAGTCACGTGAGATTCGATTGTTGCTTGTTTTGTTGTATCGGACAATCTTGCTTTTCCCTTTGTGTATGTTGAGACTTACTGCTGATTTGTATTTTATTATAGTTTTTAATATTTTCTTCCACTTTCACTGAGTCTCGATGTTTCTTCCTGAACTGTATTTATGTTGTTTTAGTTAATACTTAGTCTTGGCGGCAGCCATATGTGTTTGTTCCCCCCCTTTTGATTGTGTTACTTGCATTGACTGGAATTGTGCATTTTTTCATTATGAGTTGAAGCACTCTTCTAGAATTGGAAATACTCTCTGCGTTATAAAGCAACGAAATATTATCTTTTGAACGAATCTGTATGTGATCTATCCAGAATAACATTTATTTGTTTCGATTGGTAATTTTCTTACATCCTTTATCTACTGAAGAATCCTACAATAGGACGAAACAGCCATCCACTGCTTCCATGTTTTCCGTGGTTGTGGTCTAGCTTCAATTAACTCATGATTTCAGCTACTGAAATTACTTTATCAAATTACTGATTTGTTAATATCAAATGGTTTTTGTGGATATTATAGTAATTTTAATGGTTAAGATCATGAGTCGGTTGAAGCTAGATCACCGTGGAAAACCTGGAAGCACTGGACGGCCGTCTCGTCCTATTGTGGGACTCCTCAGCAGTGCGCATCCACGACCTCGCCCCCTGTGACTTTCGAACCCAGAACCTAGTGGTTTTGTGCGCGAGCACTTAACCACTAAAACACTGAGCCGGCATCCAACGGTTGTAATTTAGATTTGGTTAATAATTGAGTAATTATTAATTGGTAATAACTGTTTAGGTAATCATGTACATTTATGATTATAATAAAATTCAGAATCATCATTTACTTAATCAACTTGTTTTGGTTTTGATATGATGGAAAGAAAAAGTCAATTTTCGATTGATTTACTCATTATGAGTATCTTTTCTACTAGAATCGTTTTCGTCGTCCTCGTGTTTTGGGGTTAATAAATCATCACTTATACTAGTCTTTATGTTCTTACTTTCATGTCGTGGGAATTGCAGAGGTCCCTCGTTTCGAGTATAAGTGATAAGCGTTTCCAACATAACAATCAGCAACGATCAGATACAAAAAATTAACATTAAACGAGTCAAGACAATAAGCATTCAAACAACAAGTTCTAACAGGTTTCAATTGGTCAATAGTGCTTAACTAAACTGCCTAGACATTTATTCTTTAGTCCAAATCTTAGTTTGGATTCTATACTACTATTTCGTTTTATTACAGTTATTTATGTGAACGTTCAAGTCAATATTATTATTATCATTATTGTATATTGGCAAGCTATTCGGGTAATAAAAATGAAAACTGTAATAAAATGCGGGAATAATTGTATAATTGATTCATTAAATGTATATAAGAATAAAATGATGGGAAATCTATGGTTATGTTTTTCTCCCAACATTTGGTGTAAGTTGAAGATTATTCTCACTGTATTTAGAAATGGTATTAATAGTAGTAATAACATTAGTAGTGAGTTACGTCATTAGGACTGTTACAAATTAAATATTCTCAAGCTTTCTTAATGATTCCTTATAATAACTTACTTACTTACTTACTTACTTATGCCTGTAACTCCTCGTGGAGGAGCATAAACCGCTCACCAGCATTCTCCATCCAACCCTGTCGTAAGCAATTCTTTCAAAATCTTTCCAATTGTTATTTATCGTTTTCATATCTGATTCTATTTTCCAACGTAATGTGTTCGTTGACCTCCCTATTTTCCGCTTCCCTTCAGCATTTCAAGTTACGGCTTGCCTCGTGATATAATATGGTGATTTCCATAATGTATGTCCTATCCATTTCCATCGTCTTTTCCTAATTTCCCCTTCAGCTGGAAGTTGATTTGTTCTCTCCCACAGTAGACTGTTGCTGATAGTATCCAACCAATGGATGTTGAGTATCTTGCATAGACAACTATTCATAAATACTTGTACTTTCTTGATTGTGGTTGTTGTAGTTCTCCAAGTTTCAGCTCCATACAGTAGAACTGTTTGACGTTCGTATTCAAGATTGTGACTTGAATATTGTTTGACAGACATTTGTTTGGAATTCCATATATTCTTCAATTATAAGAATGCTGTCCTTGCTTTCTCATTTCACGCCTTTACGTCTAACCGTTACAATTCCTGGCTCTTAGCCAGGCGGCTCGGTGTTTAACTCCCTGCGCGGCTTAGTTTTTAACTCTGCCTATAACTTTTCTAGAGTTACTACCGGTTTCAAGCTCGGATAAAGAAGGAGGGTTGTGCATGAGGTTTGCAACCTTCCCCCCCGCCGTAGAAAACTAACTCGCCCTCCCTACCCCCCCAAAAAAAAACGCTAAACAATTCAAATCTATTATTAGTAATATTATTATATAATCTAATGAAATGAGTTATTTTATCAAAACAAAAATGTACAATTATACAATTGTATATTGTGATCGTCTATAAGAAAAGAAAAGAAGAGAAGAAAACAATGAAACAAACAAACAAACAAAAAAATCAATAATTGAACGAATTTCTTTAAACAAAATCAGTAGAAATTGATGAAATATTATCATGATTTGAATCATAATGTGAAGAATTCGATTGTTGTTGTTGTTGTTGATTGTTTATCATATACATAAGTGTATTCGCATTATTATTATCATCCATTGAACCCTTAGAATCATTTATGATTGAATTATCTATTATTATATCATATTTAAAAGATTTCTTATCATTTAATTGTTTATCAATAAAATCAATTAAATTAATTGGTGTTATTGATTGATTACCATTTTCTATTGATTTATTGATTTGTTTATGATTGAATTGATTTAATAATAAAGATTGATTATAATGATCAATAATATTTGTTGAATGATTTAAATAGAATACAGATAAATTATCATTATGATTAGATTGTTTATTAAATGTTTGTAATGTATTAGGATATTGGTTAATAATAGTATAATCAGAACAGTTTGATGATGTAGCAGTAGTAGTAGTAGTAGTAGTAGTACTGGTAGTAGTAGTAGTAGCAGTGGAAGTAGTCGAGATAACAGAAGGTGTAGATGGTGTAGAAGTAATACAAGGTGTAGAAGTCATCATAAAAGATTGATTATCTGAAAGACAATTACCTATTTTATGTTTAATTGTATGTTGTGGTGATAAAATTGAGGTTGATTTACTTGATGGAATACTTGATTGAATATTAGAAGTCCATGAAACTAAATAAACAAAATAGAAATAAATGAATTGAATACAAGTAATAATTTAAAAGTATCACGTATGGAATGTTTACAAATGCGTTTTTTTAACGGGTTCTAGGAGACTTGTCAGCCACTTTGCTATAGAATGGTAAGCGGATCCTGACATATCGTGAATTGGTCTAAGAGGTAGGCCAAGTTTGTGTATTTGTGGCAAACCGTATAATCGCGGTATTATTGATGCTGTTGCTTGTTGATCTCAAAACCAATCAATGAGAAAAACAAGACTGAAATTATAGAAAACCAACTGATTGAAGTTCTTAAGAGAATGAAAAATGAGCAGTTAATTAACGAACAGGTCTTTGAGCGCATAAAACTAACAGCATCAATAATACCGCGGTTATACGGTTTGCCAAAAATACACAAACTTGGCCTACCTCTTAGACCCATTCTCGATATGTCAGCATCACCTTACCACTCTATAGCAAAGTGGCTGGTAAATCTACTAGAACCCGTTAAAAAACGCATTTGTAAACATTCCGTACGGGATACTTTTGAATTTATCGAGCACATAAAAGAAGTGAATGTATGTGACAAAATTATTCTATCTCTGGATGTCGAATCATTATTCACTAATGTTCCACTCACAGAGACCATTAATTTTATCTACAACTAATTATTATTGTCTATTTTTAATAATGGGGATATGTGGAGATTGTAGTATGTTCACAACTGAAATGATAAGTCGATCTAAGCCAGACCATCATTGAAAATCTGGGAGGATTCCTCAGTAGTGCACACCCATAATCTTACAAGTGGGACTCGAGTTCAAGACTTTTGGTTTCGTGCATGAGCGCTTAACCTCTAGACTAATGAGCCAGTTTCCAACAGTGTTAATGTCTAATTTCAACCATTTGTTGAGAATATTTAAAACTTAGATTTTCACTGCGAACTAATATTAACCAAAACGTTCTTAATAAATACTAGATATTTGTTTTTAAACTTGTTTAAGTTTCTTCAAAAGTGAACACCTATGAAATGGTTTTCCGTAAATGATTCATTTTTGTATTGGTTGTTTAAATCCTTCTCCTCTATTGTTGCCATATGTACATCCTCTGCAGATTGCCTAGATATTGCCTTAAGTCACAAGTATTATAAGCAAAGATGGATGATGGAGTATCAACTCTGGAATGCAAGTTTATCCATCTGACGTGTTCCGAATAGGACGAAATGTGAATGTTGAATTCCATTGCTAAACACGAACATCTCTGCTTATAAAGGTAAATAAGGTTCTTATTGAATACTCATTTCATATCAATTTACTAAATACTCTCTTTTTATAAATGAAATCTATTCTGACAATAGAATAATGAAGCATATATATTCTATATAAGTTAAATTTTACACAACTATACTGTAATAATATTGAATGCATCCTATAAAACTAAATAAAAATCCAAAACTGACCTTGATATTGCTGTTCATGTGGTTTGTTATGTTCTTCTTTATTTGATGATAAAGGAGATAATGACTTGAAGTAACCGAATAAAACAATAGAAAGTACGAAAAGATTGTTTCAACATTCAGAAGAAGAAAGAACATATATAACTAGTTGAAATCATGAGTCAATCGAAGCTAGATCATCATAAAAACCTGGAAGCACCGGATGACCGTTTCGTCCTATTGTGTGACTCCTAATCAATGCACATCCATGCTCCCGCCTCGCGAGACTCGAAACCAAAACCTATCAGTCTTGCGCGCAAACGCTTAACCTCTCGACCACTATACCTGCTAGTATCCATTGGTGTTAATGTCTAACTTTAACAAATCCACGAAGTTGAGCCACCGTCCATCATTGTCATCAGTGAGTTACTATCTCACAACAAATCTGGTTGAACTTCATTGATCACAACTTTACACTACAATTCCAAGAAATATCCATTGAAGTTGTATATTAATAATCTCAATAGTTGATTGGTTGAAAAACAACAAGATAAATCAACCAATAAGATTGTTCGGATAATCTAGACATGATTTATTTTTTCAAGCTACTTCCTTTTAACTGTGAATAGTTTAGATCTAAATGGTAAGTTTTCTGTTTTTAAGGAAATACATCTAAAATGAAAGGTATCATTCTGATTGACATAAATGATATAACCGGAAATACTGAGATAAGATTTTCTATTGTCAATCATTATATAAAACATTTGTTAACTATTGAATAAGAATTGATCAATATCAACTTCTATTGTAATGAATAAGAACAACAATAGTAGGGATAATCCAATGTATTTTAATACAAACGTATTGAATCACATAGTTAAAACTGAGTATTCTATGGTAAATAATTCATTTACAATATCACTGGTTGAAATAATGAGTCAATTGAAGCTAGACCGCAACCATGGAAAACCTAGAAGCACTGGATGACCGTTTCGTCCTCGTATAGGATTTCTCAGTAGTGCGCATCCACGATCCCGCTACCTCGTGAGATTTGAACTCAGGACCTACCAATCTTGCGTCAGGCGCTTAATCAACTAGACCACTGAGCTAGCATCCAAGCCCTCACGCGTGAGATTGATAGGTCCTGGGTTCATAGCTGTCTAGCTTCAATTGACTCATGATTTCAGCCAGTGAACTTTCTAAAATCTCCACAAAACGCTTTCTGCTAATCATTTACAATATGTCAATCAATAGTTTTAGACTTGATTGTTCTTTTGTTTGCACAGCAATTATTGTCTGTTCTCATCCTGTTTTCTTCGATCTTATTAACCTTCTGCTACTGGACATTTCACTCTTGATTGATGATACATATTACTTATATCTGTCGATATCAGTAGCATATATTACATACTAAGTACATTTTCATTATGTATTACCCTAATATTATGGATAAGAACTAGTGATGTATTGAATAATCTTCAGTTTGTTTTACTAGTGATTATTCAAGTAACAAACATTATTATTTGTGATAGGATTAAATTGAAGGAATGAGTTTAGTTCGCTAATCGATATATCTTCGATCCACATAGTTCTAAGCCTTTAAACTGAACCATTAATGGAGAGGTATAGAATTCGTACTTAAGTAAATAATTCAAGTACTCAGCTTTCAACAATTGAACACTACTTAATCCAATCTGTACAATTAAGTAGTAATAATCAGCATATGTTTGTGACCCTGAATTGCAATGAGAATAAATTGCCTACCTCACAGTGGTTCGTAATTAACTTTGGTTGAAATTTAAGATTGAGTGAGACTATAATTTATGGACGACCTTTGAGCGACGCTAAAATAGCTTTGAGAATGTCCACCTACTGATTAGGGCTTTAAACCTGCGTGAAAGATACGGATTGTGATTTATAGTTGATGGCTAGGGATAGGGATTAGATTTAGGGTTTTCATCACGAACTGACTTCAGCTAAAATGTCAAGACTCTGTTTAGCCAAATGGACGAAGAATTTCGCACCGACATCCAAGACCTGTTATTGTAATTCTGATTGGTACGTCCATACATTATAGCCTCGCCTAAGACTGTTATGCCATATATTCATCTTTAGTGGATGACATCAATATAGCCTTTATCATTAATAATCACAGTCCGAATGTTTAGGAACTTATGACTAAATGGGTTTAATCGGGTAAATTATTCAGAATGCACATAAAGTGATAGAAATTGACTAATCTCAATCTTGAATCCCAACAACAGGAAATTAAGAACGATTCATCACATTTTCATTCCTGTTGAACAAGTAAGTTAATACTTGACCTGAATGTATTAGTAAATAACGTGTTTGCGTTTGACACATTAGGTATCAGGTTCGAGTTCCAGTATGAAATTAACACTAAGATGGAGATTTATCCACATGAAAAGTTTCATATGAGATTATATGTCCATTTCGGCTTCCATTGTCAGCTATAATCTAATTATGTAAAAGTAGATTATCTGTTTCGGTAAGTTACTATAATTTTCAATACAAATGTCAAGACAGTTCTACTGTATGGAGAGGAAACTTTGAGAACTACGAAGTGTTTATTAACAGTTCTCTACGCAAAAATAATTGGGATTCGTTGACCAGACATTATCAGCAACAACCTACCACGGGAGAGAACAAACCAGATCCCAGCGGAGGAAGAAATCAGGAAGAAGTGTTGGAGGTGGATAGGACACAGATTGAGGAAAGCACTGAACCGCATCACAAGGTAAGCCCTCATTTGGAACCCTCAAGGCCAAAAGGGGTGATGAGGAAGATCAAAGAACAGAATATGCTGAGAAATGGAGACATACATGAGAAGAATGAACAAGAAATGGATAGAACTGGAAAGGAATGCCGAGGATCGAGTATGTTGTAGAATGCTGGTCTGTTGCCTATGCTTTTGAGTCACAGTAAAATGATCTCGAGGATGTTCACCTATTAACTAGGACTAAATGATGTGGGTTATAAAGCAGTGCGACGAATTAGAATTATGATTTACTGGTGATGGTTAAGGTTAGGAGTTAGAATTAGAGCTATAATACTAAAATGGTATTTGTTATATTCTAGTGAAGATCTTATTACGAGTAACTTCTAAGGTCTATTAATGGAGTAATATTTTATATATTCCAATTGTATAACTGTTCAGTAACTACATTATGTATATTTATATTTCTCTTATTACAAGGTTCATTTTGAGCCATAGACTATTATGATACGATTTAATGTCTCTAAGTTATGTTCAGCTTATTTATTATTGCATCCCATAATCACAGGCACTTTTTGGCTTGATCATGTACAAAGGTTATTTCCTATTTTATGGTATGATGTGGCCTGTTCAGCCGGTATATGAACTAAGTATATCTGAAATAAATAATTCGCATAGAGGAAGGTATAATCGGTATTCTAAACTTAACTGGACGGGCTAGGCAAACAAACCACCAATAATGACGCTAGACTATTCATACCGGTTGAACGTCATTGATTTAATACAGTAAAGGAGTGAATAAGTCATATTTTGATTGGTCAAAAAATTATATGATAACTAGCCGAATATAAAATCGTAACAGTATTTAACTAAATGATTACATATATGAATCTCGCGCCAAAATCTATGACCTTCTATCTTAAATCTGATTGGTTCACCTATAAATAAATAAACAATCAATATTGTAACTTACCTGATTATTATTATTATTATTATTATTATGTGGTATTACAATATATTCCCAACTTCTAGCAGTTTTTAATTGATTTATTTCATTTGAATTATGATCATGATTATTATTATCATCATTCATTGATCCATTCAAGAAATTCATTGAATTATCTAATTTCTCTGATTTTTTTAATTTTAACGATTGTGTAAAATAATTAGGATCAATTTTATTATGATTATTATTATTATTATTACTACTCATGATACTATTAATCGTATCTGTTGCCATGGTAACATTATTCGTATTATTTATCATATCCATTGTTGATATATTCATTGGTAGTATTGATTTATTTTTTAAATCTTCATCATTCATCATTGTTTTACATAAATTCAATGGATCATTATTATTGTTACTATGATGAGATTGTTGTAAATAATCAAGATTCGAATTGATCAATGTACTACTATTACTATTACTACTTATATGTTGTTCATATTGATTATATTGTGGTAATGTATAATTATTAGAATCTTGTTTATTAATAATCCAATATTTTTCATAATTTTGTTTTAATTCATTATTAGTATGATTATTGATTGGCATTGTTAAATATATTGATTGTTTATCATTGATTATTGGTAATGTTTTTTGATCATTTCTATATGATGTATATTCATTGAATGGTAAAAATGTTGTATAATTTTCATGATTTTTTTGTTTATTTTTTAATGAATTATTTTCTTCAATCAATATTGATTTTAAGGATACATTACTAAATTGATCAATATATGGATTATTTTCATTATTGAATAAGATTGATTGATTGGAATGATATTGATTATTGATTATTGATTTATTAGGATATAATATTGTATTATTATTATTATTATTATTATTATTATTATTATGATTTGTATGATATTTTGAATTTAATATATTTTTCCAATTAAATTTATCATCAGTTAATTTGATATTATTTAATGAATTATCATTACGTAATAGATATTGCATTCGACCATTTCTACTACTACTACTACTATTATTATTAGTAGTATTATTATTATGAAAACGAAAACTTTGAAATCCTCGTCGACCGCATACATATACAGTAATGCCTAATAATACAAGTATAATAGCACAACTTAATGCAACGATAGCAACTAATATAGAACTAGTATTGAATGGATTATTTTCATCATAATTATGAAATTCATTTGTTTTCATTAATTTCTCATGATCATTGATTAATGAATAATATTGATTATCTTTGAAACGACGATGTAAATTTAATGATTTAATATCATTATTTAATAAATTTGTAGAATGATGTAAATTAGTAAATCGATTCGAATATATACGTGGTGGTGAATCAATTATCTATATATGAAAGGAGAGGGGGGGGAAATAATAGAAATAATCAATTATAAATCATTTAGAATGATACTTGATTGATTTTCTGAAAGAAGAATATATTGCATAGTAACTGTTAGGGGTTATTTTTTTGCTAGGGTTGAAGCTATCACGAGTTCACTTAATCTGCGAACAAGAAACAAGACTCGGTGACCAAAGACCAGTAAGTTAGCTATTGTAGAGTTTAAGCCCCGTTAACTATAGGGAGAAGTTTAAGCTTAGAATGGGGAAGTATATTCTACAAAATAGCCAGAAAAGATCGATAACAACAAACACGATTCAAATCGTATATATACAGTACAAAACCGTCCTTGGGAAGAGTTACCAAGTGGCACACTAAAAGACGCAACGGACCAACAGCATTTGAGATATTTCCCAGTGAGAAATACGACATGAAAGTGACAAGAGCGTCTTTGTCGCGAAAACAAAGAAATTCAAATTTTTTAAATAAAATTACATAATTAGGTCCTTATCCAAGTGATTTCTGGGGATCTAACGTCCCCAACATTTATGAACTATCATTATATAGATTTTTATTGGATAACTACTAAGTAATTAGATTATATTGAAGATGTTATAGGTATTTGTAGTTTGACAACACTTTAACCAGTAACATTTCCTATAAATGAATTGTGCTCACCTAGTGAAATCAAAAGTCAGAAGTGAAGAGGTTTGAAGATATATTTAATAGGCTATCAATCTATCGAGAATTAAGTGATTTGGGCTAGCTAACGATTGTAAAGGATGTTGAGCATAGAGTTCCCACTCATGATCTGGTGCAGATACATAATCGAGCTCCTTCAGCTAGATAAGTACATTAAAACTAATGTGATCAGTATCTAAATGTTGAAGACTTATAGAGCTATTGTTTTTAAGGATTTATTTACCGCTACAATATGTATGTATGTGAATCCTCAAGGCGAAAGGAAAAGAGGAAGACCAAAGAACACATTACACCGGGAAATGGAGATAGACATGAGAAAAATGAACAAGAATTGGATGGAATTAGAAAAGAAGTCCCAGGACAGAGTGGGTTGGAGAATGCTGGTCGGCGGCCTATGCTCCATTAGGAGTAACAGGCGGAAGTAAGAAGTAAGTAAGTAAGTACAATATGTATGTTCGTATTTGTTTTGTCATAAGTTTTTAATTCCATCTATTGGTTACTGTTATATGATTTGCTATTCTTCATTTATTCCCATTCTATTCGGTACAGTCTTCTTTACTCATATACACTTTTTGGCTTGAACTTGTATAATTTTTATTTATGGTATGCTACGATCTGATTTGATTGAATATAAACTAAATCTGTCTGAAATATACGATTCATGTAGTGGTTGCTGATATTTTTGTTATGGACTGATCTAGGCGATAAACGACTATATAGAAGACCAATGAAGACTTAGAATTGACATAAAGTTGTTAGGGTTGATTGACATGTTATTGATTCAGCACAAAGACAAGGTCATAAAAGTCGATATTCTAATTAGTGTTAGTTTATAGGTCATGGCACATGACAGATAGAAGTTTCATTTTAATCAGATAGGAATAAATTTTGACATTTCTAGATTTAAAGAAATAGGACATTACCTTGAGACTTATGAGTCTTTATCTTCGAACACAAAATCAATTTGCCATAATACTTAATCATTATTCTAAGCGGTGACTAGTAATGTTTTCCCTTAGACCAACCGTATAACGGATTTTTAATCAGATAAACGATCCATATTCATTAAGAGTACTTTCGATTACTTTCAAGAATATTATTTACTGTCAGTTAAAGATATATCTGATATTGTAATATAAAGTTAATATTGATAAATTCGGAATTAAAAATTTGAAAATGATTAAACATACAATGAGTTCATGATCTCAATTAAAAACGTAATAATCTCTACAACCCTATACTGATAGTTACCATGTACTCAATAATGACTAGCTTCATAAGTGAATACTTGGAGTTCTAATGAGAAGCTGTGACCAACGGAGCTCATTCGTGTCAGGTAGAGACAGGTTTCTACCTTGGTACAATGAAAGATGGTTGCGCGATTTCGTGAATTGGCTAAAGTTAGATATTCACACCGTTGGATACCGACTGGTTCAGTGATCTACAGGTTAAGCGTTTGCGCGCGGGATCAAGGATGCGCATTGTTGAGCAGTCCCATGATAGAACCGAAAAGCCGTCCAGCGCTTCCAGATTTTCAATGGTAGTTTAACATCAATCGCTTCATGATCTCAATCAAAAACGTAATCATCTCCAAAACCCCTTACTGACAAACATTCAAAAAACACAACTTCTTGATGTTTGATTATTTTCCTGAAGATGTTCAGACAAGACTGTTCAATAGCTGATAGTTTGCAAAATCTTATTCCCGTTTTTCTTCTTTTTTTAAAATTTAGAACAATTCAGTAACAATCATATGAGTATCAAAATTACTCACATTTATCTACATACAAACATTCCTGTGTATATACACATGGTAATAGACTTACTACTCATGTACTTTAACTACAGAATGATATGTTTTAATGTTTTTTTTATTCCCTCATAAAACCATATCCGATACCGATATTCAATGAGAAGGTTAAATAAGACAATCACAGAAAGTGAGCGAGAGAGGGGGGGAGGCGAGAGAGAGAGACACAAACACACACAAGTTTAGTTACTTAGATAGAAACAGTATAACTAAAATTATTTTCTATCATAGTAAATAAAAGAAAAAAAATAAGCTGAGAATAAGAATAAAACCGGAAATCTAAATGTTTGTCTATTTTGTAAAGTTTCTTTAAAGACTATTATTTGTTGGTGTTGTTGTGTTGATATGTAGTCTACAATGTAACAGCTTGGATACATATATCAATGTACACACTTACTTACTTACTTACGCCTGTTACTCCCAATGGAGCATAGGCCGCTGACCAGCATTCCCCAACCCACTCTGTCCTGAGCCTTCTTTTCAAGTTCCATCCAATTCTTGTTCATTTTTCTCATGTCTATCTCCATTTCTTGGCGTAATGTATTGTTTGGTCTTCCTCTTCGTTGCTTCAGCCTTGAGAATTCTATGTGAGCGCTTGTCTTGTGACGCAGTTGGGTGCTCCCTCAATCTGTGTCCTATCCACTTCCAGCGCTTCTTCCTCATTTCTTCCTCCACTGGGATCTGTTTTATTCTCTCCAACAATAGGTTGTTGCTAATAGTGTCCGGCTAAAAGATCCGAAGTATTTTGCGTAGACAACTGTTAATAAACACTTGTATCTTCTGGTTGATGGCTTTCGTAGTTCTCCAGGTTTCCACCCCATATAGTAGAACTGTCTTGACATTTGTATTGAAAATCCTGACCTTGGTGTTGGTTGACAGTTGCTTTAAGTTCCAGATGTTCCTCAGTTGTAAATATGCTGCTCTTGCTTTGCCGATTCGCGCCTTCATATCTGCATCAGATCCACCCTGTTCATCAATGATGCTGCCCAAATACGTAAGAGTTTTTACATCTTCCAAATCTTCTCCGTCGATTGTGATTGGATTAGTGCATTCTGTGTTGTATCGGAGAATCCTGCTTTTCCCTTTGTGTATATTGAGACCTACTGCTGTTGGGGCTGCTGCCACACTGTTCGTCTTCTCCTGCATTTGTTGCTGCGTTTGGGATAGAAGGGCCAGATCATCATCATACATATAGGTAAATTCTATTACACAATTAGTTATGATTTCAAGTGAACAAAACAAATAATAAAGAAGAAATCATTGAATCAAAATGAAGTGAGAAAAAAGAAAAGAAAAGCATAGTGATAAACATAGACACGTTAGTAATTACATATCGTTATGACCAAATCTATGACGTGGATAGATAGTAACTAAATCAAGTAAAATAGTGACAGTACTTTATTGATAAGATTAAATATTACTAATTAACAGTGAATCATGTGATTTAAAACGTTATCGTTTAACGATCTATTCATCTGACATTAGGCCATTAACTGGGAAGGTAGAAACTTTCAGAAAGCAATTCTATCGTTAGATGATGATACCTATTTGGATTCTGTATTCATTAAGTATTAATTGTTGTTTTATAAGATGGTAGTTGAAGGTAGTCAACTGGAAACCTCGGACTTAAGTTTTGTGCTACTTGGTATTCATCGGCAAATATATCTCAGTCTTACAGAAAATCAGTAATGGCCTAGACAGTTCAGTGGTAACGTTTCTGAATATGAAGCTGTGTAACACGGAATCGACTCCATCAGGGAGCATCAGTTCCAACAAGATTACAGGTACATCTTGATGATGAGTTCTAAAATAGCACAAAATCTAAGTCCGGGGTTTCTTGTTGATTACCTCTAATCACTATTTTATCTCAACATAGTGCATGTAATCTCAAGTTATGTAAACTGATGGTCGAATTGACACTTCGTCGATAGGATTTGATCTGAACTAAGAAGAACCTGGCATAGATGACATTGATCACTACCCAATGATCAATCAATTGTTATTGTTATTATTTATTCTACTGTTGATAAATTACAGCTAATTAATTATATACCTGATATTTACTTTTGTATCATAAGTGATTTAGTTACATACAAAATATGATTTCTTGTCATTGGTTCTTTATGGCCTTAAAACTAATATGCATTATCATAATATTGATTGAGATTATGAACCGAGTGATATTAGACTACCATTGAAAACTTGGGAACATTGGATGGCTATTTCATCCTATTATGGGACTCCTCAGCAATGCTTAATAATCTCCAATAACAGTCTTAATTATATCTGGAATGAAGAAGACTTATCATTAATAGGCTCTATAATGTAATGATCCCGTTTAGTGAAGATAAAAACGTTCCATGGATATGAATTACTGAAGAATATGAAATTTCATTAAAACAATTTTTTGATATACAGTTGGTTTTACAGTCCATTATGACAAATACTTATGTAATAATAGTGGATTGATTTTAGATGTTATAAAAATGGTGAGTCAATTGAAGCTAGACCACCATGAAAAATCTAGAAGCACTGGACGGCCATTTCGTCGTAATATGGGACCTCTCAGCAGGTCTGTTGTGAGATAACAACTCATTGAAGACAATGGTGTACGGTGGCGCAACTTCGTGGATTGGTTGAAGTTAAACATTAACACCGTTGGATGCCGGCTCAGTGGTCTAGTTGGTTAAGCGCCTAGCACGAGAGTGATAGGTCCTGGGTTTGAATCTCGCAAAGCACGGGGTCGTGGATGTGCACTGCTGAGGAGTCCCATACTAGGACGAAACGGCCATCCAGTGCTTCTAGGTTTTCCATGGTTGTGTAGCTTTAATTGACTCATGATTTCAATAAGTGAAATTTCTAAAAATCTCCACAAAACCCCTTCTGGTTATAAAAATGATCACAAATGTGTATATATCAATAAATGTATTTTAGATAAAAAGTCATTTAATATGTGGGGGGGGCGGTTCTGATTTCCATCTAGACAGGAATATCAATAGGAGTTTAAGAAAAAAAGAAACTGCAATTGTAGTCATAATGGATGTAGGCTAATATTATGAAATGATGGAGCTATACGATAGATTTAATTGATAGCGGTTATAATGTAGATAAATTAGAATCATTTCGAATGATCTAATGTAATAGATGAAATAGCATACAAAGAAAACTTCAGTTACTTCTATAATTATGAATGATTAGTTCTAATTAGTGTATGGTATTGATAAGATTGAAACAATTTTAGGTTGTCATTGTCAGATTAGATATATTACAGCAGAATTTATGTTGATAATGTTAATTTTACAGCAGCCTTAGCAGTAGTAGGTCTCAACATACTCAAACGGAAAAGCAAGGTTCTCCGATACAATACAAAATGCAACAATCGAATCACGCTCGATAGAGAAGATTTGGAAGATGTAAAAAAACATTCACATATTTGGGTAGCGTCATTGATGAACACGGTGGATCTGATACAGATGTGACAGTACGGATAGGAAAAGCGAGAGGAGGATATTTACAACTGGAGAACATCTGGAACTCAAAACAATACAGTTCTACTGTATGGGGAGGAAACCTGGAGAACTACGAAAGCCATCATCCAGAAGATAAAAATGTTTATTAACAGTTGTCTACGCAAAATACTTCGGATTCGTTGACCAGACACTATCAGCAACAACCTACTATGGGAGAGAACAAACTAGATTTCAGTGAGGAAGAAATCAGGAAGAAACGCTGGAAGTGGATAGGATACACATTGAGGAAATCATCAAACTGCATCACAAGACAAGCCCTCACATGGAATCCTCAATGCTGAAGGGTGTGATAAGGATGACCAAAGAACACATTACGCCGGGAAATGGGGACAGACATGAAAAGAATGAACAAGAATTGGATAGAACTAGAACGGAATACCGAAGACAGAGTGTGTTGTAGAATGCTGGTCTGTGGCCTATTCTCCATCAGAAACAACTACTAATTTAATTTAAATGATACCCTAACAGAAAAACTGTATCAGTATAGGGTTGTGGAGATTATTAAGTTTTTGATTGAGATCATGAACCGATAGATGTTAGACCACCATTGAAAACCTGGAAGCACTGGATGGCCGTGACCAGTGCAGGTAATCCGTGTCGGATAGAGACAAGTATCTACTTCAGTACAATGAAAGATAGTTGCCCAATTTCGTGGATTGGTTGAGGTTAAAAATTCACACCGTTGGATTCCGAATTGTTGAGTGGTCTAGAAGGAAAGCATTCGCGCGTGAGAATGTAAGCCCTTGTTTCAAATTTCGCAAGCGCGGTCGTGGATGCGCATTGCTAAGGAGTCCCACAGTAGAACGAAAGAGCCGTCCAGCGCTTCCAGATTTTCAATGGTAGTCTAACATCAATCAGTTCATGATCTTAGTCAAAAACTATAAAGACAGAATATAGTTTGGTTGATTTCAATATATTCGGATATTGCTGTAATACAATTTATAGACTAGTCAAGTTAAAGCTCAAAAAATTGATTTTGTAAAAGTAAAAACAAAAAAAATCACTTACTCTAACCATTAGTTTCACTTCTGTTGTACGTGATGGAATACCAGCGTCTTGTATATGTATTACTAATGGATATAAACCAATATCTTGTATAGTTAATTCACGATCAATTATTAATTCAGCTGACGTACTACCAAGACGAAAGACTGAAGCTTGATTACCAGAATATAAATTGAAATGTAATAAAGAATTATGTCCTTCATCGGGATCACGTGCTTCAATTCGTGCTACTATCTGAAAGAGATTAGTAAGTTACATTGCAATATGATACAAAAACATGAAAAGTGAGACGAAAATTATACAGTAGTATGTAAACATATAACGGAGGAAAAAATCAGGAAGAAGCGCTGGAAGTGGATAAGACACACACTGAGGAAAGTATCCGATTGTTTCACAAGACAAGCTCTCACATGGAATCCTCAAGGCCAACGAAAAATATGAAAACCAAAGAACCAATTACGCCGAGAAATGGAGATAGACATGAAACGAATGAACCGAAATTGGATAGAACTGGAAAGAAAGGGCAAAGACAGAGTGTGTCGGAGAATGCTGGTCAGCGGCCTATGCTCCATTGGGAGTAACAGGCGTAAATAAAGTAAGTAAGTAAAATGTGAACATATAATTTAATAGTAGATAGAATATCATCATATATTACTACACAGTGACCGATTTTAAACTATGAAACTCAAGGTCTCTAACTATAAAATAGTATTGTATTGTGTCTCTTGAGTACAAATTGAGCTGAGTAGCTTTATCTCGTTCTGAAACATTAATGTTTAATGGAATAATTTGCAAATTGTACAGAACTACGTGGGATTCTACGAAAATCGGGTGTAACGACTCAATTATCACTGTAGGTCTTATCTTTACTCACTAAACATAGACTTCAGGGGTCTTCTTTTTGTTCCCAATCGATACTAAAAATTAAAACAGTAATGAATCAATTCAAAAGTCTAACGATTGATCAATCGTAGAGGGAACAGAGCATTGGCTTTTGAATTGAGTAAACAAATTTATTATAATATTAATTCATCTTATATTGATTGTTTGGATCTCTATATTGATTTTTAAAGACTACAATGGATCAGTCAGTTTTGGTATATGTGGATTCTAGTCGAATTGTCTCAATATTTCCAAGAAATCACAAGCATTCAAAACAGAGATGGATAGTGGAGTGAATATCAACTCTTGGGTTCAGATACATCCACCTGAAGAGTTCGAAATAGGACGAAACATGGGGCCTGGATTCCACTACTAACCATCATTCATCTTTGTTTCAAAGTTAATAAAAGATTAATTCAATTCTACTTACTTCACCTGGTGGTTCCCGATAAGATACACTAATATTACCTTTACCATTAACTGGAAATACAACAATTGGATCATGATCATTTGTATCAGTTATATGTATATGAACTTTAGCTGTTGCTGAACGTGATGGTTTACCATGATCAATTAATAAAACAATTAATTCATAATTTGCTTGTTTTTCACGATCTAATAATTGTAAAGTTGTTATTTCTCCAGTGGAACTATTCAATCTAAAATGAGATGTTGTACCAAGTAAACGAAAATGTAATTGAGCATTTTCATCAATATCATTATCGGTACCAAGTAGGATACCTAAAAAAAATTTTAAAAAAAATTTGATAAGTGAATGAAATCAATGTTTATTAATCCACTCAAGTAAGTTTTTAAGTAGTCTTCGTCACAGGTTGATCTCAGTTGGAGTGCTATAGAAAGCTGTTCCATCCTAGAAATGGACACCTGAAATAGCTACAACTTAAGTGCGTCTACTGTTACTCGTAGTCCAAAGACAAAGTAAAGGAGTAGAGTTGAGCATGGGTTTAGCGATTACATTCTTTGATATTATAGAGTAACTGAGATGATTGTCACTATCATGGAAATCTTACAATTGACTATACTGTAAAATCGTACTTGAAGAGAGGCTCACAGATGCGTTTTAAGTGAAGACCAGTGTCAAACAAAGCTTCTTATTCTCACTCTTTTTTTTGGTGATTGACTAGGTTATGAAAACTCTAAGTCACAGGAGAAGCATGGAATACAGTAGGTAGCTTAGATAAAGCTAGACGGTTTGGACCTTTTGAGTAACTTAACTTTCATATCCTATGCACAGTAACCAGTGTAGATGAAGATAGTCATTGTGAATATTGACGACAAAATAAAAAGGAAGACCAAAGAACATATTGCACTGGGAACTGAAGGTTTGACATCAAATAAATGAATAAGAAGTGAAAACAACTGGAAAGTAGAGTATATGATAGAATAAGTTGTAGAATCGGCAGTCTATGCTCCAAGACTGGTGACGGGCTTTGATAAGATGTATACATACTTCAGTAATTTTTGGAGCAAGTACCCAAATCATCAAAAATCGATCCAATGAAGAACTTGATTGTCCAATTGACACTAAATACATCATTATATTCATTACTATTAATCAGTCCCCATTTTGTTATACATTTGATGAGTCATTTTTGATCACAAAATAATTAACCATTTGTAATCAGTTGCTTTAAGTTTACCACAAAACAAAGATTAAAAACTACTTTTCATTGAACATGAAACAAACATCATCATCATCATCATCATCATCATCCAAATCATCATCATCATCATCATCATCATCATCCAAAGCATCATCATCATCATCATCATCATCATCATCATCATCATCATCATCATCCAAATCATCATCATCATCATCATCATCATCATCATCATCATCATCATCATCATCATCATCATCATCATCATCATCATCATCATCATCATCATCATCATCATCATCATCATCATCATCATCATCATCATCATCATCATCATCATCATCATCATCATCATCATCATCATCATCATCATCATCATCATCATCATCATCATCATCATCATCATCATCATCATCATCATCATCATCATCATCATCATCATCATCATCATCATCATCATCATCATCATCATCATCATCATCATCATCATCATCATCCATCATCATCATCATCATCATCATCATCATCATCATCATCATCATCATCATCATCATCATCATCATCATCATCATCATCATCATCATCATCATCATCATCATCATCATCATCATCATCATCATCATCATCATCATCATCATGAATAGAGTAATCAAATAAGCCATAAAGTCATAAAAAAGTATTTATGGTTGTCTTTCCATACTGTCCAAACTATATTTATATATTTACTTTGGTATTTGTACATTGTTAGTTTTGTTAGCTTACTGCCTATGAATGTGTTACGGTCTTTTTAAAGGATTGTGACAGATAATGAACATGTTTGTCAAGTTGTTGACAACAACAACTATTTTACTATTCAAAGTTATTTTTAATATAAAAATACACCTTTATCTTAACTAATTTGAAATTTGTAATAAACTACAGAAAACTATTATTATTGATTGTTGCTAGGTGACCATCATTTTTGACTGACTTCAATTAGATAACTGTTGAATAGTATGAACTGTTGATTGGATCGTTTCATTCTGATGATACAACACTTCAGTAGTGTACACTTGGAAAGTTCCAGATAGATCATACCTAGAATTGATAAGTCTAAGTCGAAGCATTGTATCTAGTAGGTTTATTTAATGAAAAAATACTATAGAACTTTTCTATATTTCATAGATAACCTCTTCATCATTGGAACTGACCAGTCATTCGCTGTAATAGATAAATTATCTTCAGGAGGAGTTTGTGGAGATTTTAGAAATTTCACAGATTGAAATCATAAGTCAATTGAAGCTAGACCACAACCATGGAAAACCTAGTATGAAACTTCTCACGAACCCGCACCCCGTGAGACTCGGGCTCAGGACCTATCAGTCTCGCGTCAGGCGCTTAACCAACTGGATAACTGAGCCGGCATCCAATCTCCACAAACCCCTTTTGATAATAATCATCTGCTCACTAGTGACTGACTTCAAGAGATACTCCTGGAGTTCTAGTGAGAAGCCGTTACCAGTGGAGTTAAACCAGGTCTAATGTGAGATATCAACTCACTGAAGGGAATGGTGTACGGTGGCGCAACTTCGTGGATTGGTTGAAGTTAGACGTTAACATCGTCGGGTGCCGGCTCAGTGATCTAGTTGGTTAAGCGCCTAGCGCGAGACTGATGGATCCTGGGTTCTAGTCTCACGCGGTGCCGGATCATGGATGCGCACTACTGAGGAGCATCATACTGGGACGAAACGGTAGTCCAGTGCTTCCAGGTTTTCCGTGGTTGTGGTCTAGCTTCAATTGACTCGTGATTTCAATCTGTGAGATAATTCATCTGACTAACAATCGTATAGTAAACCGGTTTAATTTTACCATTTATATGAATCATTTAAAAAGAAAAACTAGGTCAACATCTGATAATTGACATATACAACTTTAGTAAATTGACAATGTTACTTAGCAATTATTCAATACCTAATAGACTGTTGTTTTTTTTCTTTCAAACTGTCCTTGGTTTATAATAAAAAAACAACAATTAAACTACATGAAATACTTTATCAAATCATATAACAAATAATGTATTTCAGAAAGAGGGGGTTTTGTGGATATTACAATACTTTTTATTAGTTAAGATCATGAATCAATGGAAGCTAAACCACCACTATGAAAAATCTGGAAGAACTGGACGATTGTTTCGTCCTATTGTGAGACTCCTCAGCAATATGCATCCACGATACCTCCCCGCGGGATTCGAACCTAGGACCTATCAGTCCTATTCATCATTCAATTCATAATACCTTCCTGTAATTCATTCACATTACAATTTGACAAACTAACAAACAAACAAATTTTGACTAACATGTTCTTTCATCTGTGTATCCAACAGTAAACCACTAATGCTGGTGATGGGTATACAAGTTGATATGGCAAGACTATCACTGATGGACGAACCAATCAGATAAAAGATAACAGGTCTCAAATTTTGACGCTAAATTTATCCATTTATTTAGAAAAATAATATTTTGGCATTATAGTTGATATCAGTTAATGATAAAAATCATAAATCTAATTCTTAACCTTAATCTAGTTCTTTACCATAGTTTATAACTCTCATTTAGTCCTAGACAGTAGATGAACATTCTGAAGATCAATTTAGTGTCGCTCACAGGTCATCCATAAGCTATACTCTCATTATTGGTATTAAAGTAACCCTTTTTTTAAAAAAAAGGAAATCTACTAACTATTAACTATCAGTTAACTGCATTTTATTATTTTATTTTAACACATAGATATTGGTACAAGGAGGCACCAAATAGATATGCGCCACACAGATCTCATTTGATATGTGTAAGGGCTATGATACTGCTCGGGTGCCCAAACCGAAGCAGGTAGTTTCCTTAATACGCCATACCCAAAGCTTTCGACCTGAAAGTCAGATCCATAAGGCAGTGGAGCAACGTAAGGAGGTACAGTCCCATGGTAGCCGATGACCAATTATTGGTTCATATCCTATTTGTTTCCTTCAGGATAGTGGAGTTCATGTGCACCATTGGTTTGGAATCAGGGTTTTCCAACTCCCCTAGATGTAATCTCCATGCCTACCAATCCGGTTAAAGCGCCAGATATTTGCTTTTCATTCTCTCAATTTCGTGGACAGCACCCCCATCACGAGAAGGCAATGAGTAGGACTTCCCTGACAGAGACTATATACGCGTAGCCATGTGAGAGCATTTGGAGATGGAGAGCGGACTCTCCCCACTCTCGGCCGTACCAGAGCATTTTGGAGCCGTTAACTACAACATAGAACCAAGCATATCACTAACTATATTTAGTTATTTACAACATTCTAAATAACCATAAAGCTTTAATTCACTTGGTAGAATATTATATCCTTCTATAATGTATATATGGCACCATTTTTAAGCACAAATAATAATAATAATAATCTATACACATAAATACATACTATATATACTACTAATAAGAAAGTAAATAATGTGAAAACTACAATTGATTAATTACACACATACTACTACTATAATAAAACGTTAGTTATAAAAAAACAGTTCTTTTTGTTGTTTTTTTCTTTATTTTATTTTTTCTATTTTTCTCTCTTTTTTTTCTTTATTTACCTCATATTAATTTGATACATAGAAGTTAAAGCTACTACTTAAATCAATACGGGAAAAGATAACTGATTCTTTCTTTCTTTTCTTTTTCTCTCTTCTTTTCTTTTCTTTTTTCTACTATTATTTATTGTAATTTCATTATGTAATAAGAGATTGGTGGTTGAAATGTATAATTTATATTAGTTTGGTTGTAACTATTGTCTCCTATTATGATATGGAGCCAAAAATGTGTATTCAGTGATAGATATTATATACTTACAAATGATTTTGAACCAAAAATGAAGTTTAGTTTAGATAGTATTACATAATAATAAATTACAATAATAGTGAGATGTAATTCAGTCAGTCAGTCAGTAACAACGTAGAACTTCGTACGTACGTACATCAGTTCAAGTTGCCACACCACATTAGCACAGAGATGCAGTGGTCGATTCAAATCCCGTAGTGGTAGAGGTAGCAAGAGTATAAGCAGTAATCGGGAAGATTAGGGTTTGGAGATGTTACTTAAAGAGTATAATCCAGAGGAAAAACGGGACATGAAGAATTCAGAAGATTAGAATTTGGGAGAACACAGAGAGTGGATGCACCTGCGCCATTGCAAACGATTTTGAGCCATGTCATTCAGGGTCTCTAACCATCGGTTGCTATCATCTCGTGGTCCCCAACCAGGTAATTAGACTTAGTTATGTAATCAATTCAATAAATTGCTATCTCTATTGTTTTAAATAGTATAAAAATGGATTAGTTGAAGTTAGATACCAATTCAGTGATCTACAGGTTAAGCGTTTGTGAGCGAGACTGATAAGTTCTAGGTTTGAATCTCGCGAGGTGGGATTGTGAATGTGTACTACTGTGGAGTCCCATACTAGGATGAAACGTCCATCCAGTGCTTTGAGGTTTTCTATGGTGGTGGTCTAGCTTCAAATGATTCGTGAATTCAGCTATTAAAATTACTATAATATCCACAAAACCTTTTCTGATATATATATGTCCTCAATGAAGTCCTTGATTGAGAAACACAGGGTGATTTAAAATTAGCGGTATTAACATAAGTGTTTTCATTCTTCAGGGCTCTGAACGTGAGCTATGAATGTTTAACTATAGTTTTCCTAGACTTATTATATTTCTTAAAAAAGGCTGCTGAAGAAGCATATATATTCTGATCAGAAAAAAGGTTTTGTGATGTAGTTGAAGTTAGACCACCATGGAAAACCTGGAAGCACTGGACGGCTGTTTCCTTCTTAGTATGGGACTCCACAGTTGTGCGCATCCACGATCATGTCTCGCGAGATATATATTTTGCACATAAAATCACTGATTGTTAATTTGAGCCATATAAATAAATCTGAACGTTCCGAGTACGATCTCTGACTAGAAACCTTAGTTAGAATGCGTGCGAATGTTTTTATTCGCAGTATGCGAATATGAAATGTGGCATGTTGAGTTTATTCATAAACTTTGTTTTGAAGATAACTTACTAAAATACTTTGCACCATTTCACAATAGTTCTTCACTACTATTGTAGTGAACGAGAACACGAGTGGGAACAATTGAATGTATTTGAATACAAAATTACAAAATGACTTAGTAAAATCTGCATACAACCGCTGCCAAGAAAGGTCTACTCATTGCCTTCTCGCAGCGGATGTGTTGTTTACGAAATTGAGAGGACGAAATGCGAATGTCCAGGCAGCATTCCGACCCTTACACAAATCGAATGATTTATGTGGTGCATATCTATTTGGTGCTTCCTTATATCAATGTTTATGTGTTTAAGTAAATTAACAAATAAATTGTAAAATCTGAGAAATATTCAGTAAATACTTCATTGGCAAAGTGTCAATCAAGTGGCTCAGAATTCATTGTCCCTTTTTTTCCACATCAATCACTCTCTGTTCTCATTCTTTTTTCTTCGATCTTCTTGACCTACCTCCATCAAACATTTCACTTTTGATTGATGTTACATACTACTCATCTCTGTCAACATCAACAACACACACCACATCATCTACTATAATCATTGACACTAATACTTTCATCCAGATCCACTATTAATTTTTACAAACCTAATACTAAACTCATCTGTACAAAATAAACTCAGGTAAAAAAATGACGAAACTCACTTATTTAAATAAAAAGTAAACCTTTTACATGATTTTTAATGAACATACATAAAACTGAATCGAGGCAAACCTCACAGGATGTACATATGCCAATAAGAGACTGATCGGTTCTAAACAACAATTGGAAGACATAAGCAAACAACACCTAGTGAATATAAACTTCGCCCCATTGTACAAGCAGGTGGCTATCAGGATTCAGTAGCTAAGTGGAGAACGTGATGACGTTTCAAGAGAACAGGACTGGGTTCGAGCCCCAGGGTGAACATCAACACTGAAATGCAGGTATATCCAGCTGATGAGTCCCAAATAGTACGAAACGCTCGTTCTGGATTCCACTGCTAATCCCTATCCATCTTTGATTAAAAAGTTTGTGACTTAAGGCTATATTGAGATAATCTACACATAATCTGCACATATACCAACAAGGGACTGATCAATTTCAGTCCTAAATGGAAGGATACAAGTAAAACAACAACCAGAATCTAATGGTTACGTAAAAGAAATAAAATTGAATTTATTCGAAAAAAAACGATTTATATTTTAAATCTGATACGAAAAACCTAGAAAACGTTTGCTGGTTAATTTAAAAGAATAGCGATTGGAAACAAATGGAAAAGAATTGTCCAAGATAGAGTTGGATGGAGAATGGTGATAAGTGGCCTATGTTCCTCCATCAGATGTAGCAGGCGTAAGGAATTAAGTAATCATTGTGAGCGTTAACCTATGTATGATATATATTTTTTGCAATGACATTCAGTGAAGTAAACAAACTCAAATTCATTAGGTGAGTATACAGTTGAAGATGAATAAATGAGTGTATGAATCCAATCAGAAAAATGAATCAAGTTCTCTATTGAACCAAGAATGTGATGAATTTTTAAAAAATAAAATAATTGAATCTCATGGGGTCAGATCGTGGATGTGTAATGCTGAGAAGTCCGTAGTATGACGAAACGGCCATCCAGTGCTTACAGGTTTTCCATGGTGGTCTAGCTCCAATTGACTCATGATATCAACTATAAAATGACTAAAATCTCCAGAAAACCCCCATCTGATAACAACACAGATATGTACAACATTCATTTATTGGCAACTAGATAGTAGCTGAGATATTTTGGTTTACATCTATATATACCATACGCAAATAACGTTTTCTTTTTAAAGTTTACAAAACATACCCTACTGATGTCTGATAATACAATGATAAAACTCAGGTCGGTATATCAAACAGATTGGTTCTAGATATTTACTTATTCAGAATGAGAATGGTGAATAACAAGAAATGTGAATTGTAATAAAGTACTGGATACAAAATTTCCATGTCAATTTATAGCTCTTAAGAGATGGCGACTCAACATTTCAACATGAAATCGAACCTAATTTGTGATATATTGCAAACTGCATTTTGCATTATCAGTTTACATTATGATACAATCAAAAAGAAATATTGTATAAACAAAGTGTTTAACAACAACTAATCACAAAAGATCTTTCAAATAGCTATTACAGATGAACTCATCTTGGAGCCACTCTGGGGCTACTATCGGTTTCAAGTTCGGATAAAGGAGGAGGGTTGGACATGGGGTTAGCGACACCATCCCGTAGAAAATTAACTTGCTAAAAAAGAACACTAACCAGATTAACATGTATATATCAAACTTTTTAACATACCAACATATGTATTCGGTGGTTGATTTTCTGCTATACGGAAATGATAACAATTATCTCGATCTAAACCGACAAACATTGGTGTATTATCATTAACATCAACAATAGTCACTTCAATTGTAGTGGTTGCTGTTAATGCAATCGGTTGACCATTATCATTGGCATAGACTTGAAATCGATAACTTAACAAAAAAAAATAAATGAAAGAAGATATCAGTGAAAATCGTTTGATAATTCAATTATGACAATATGAATTTCATGAAAAGAATTAGTTCCCTCAGGATTGCGAATATTACCTTGCTGATAACAAGAAGCGAATGATCGGCACTTTAACCGTGTTACTGGATCTGAAGGTTCCACAAAGGGGAGTTAGAAAACTCTGATTCTAAACCAACGGTGCAAATGAACTTCAGGATCCTAAGGGAGCAAATGGCAAATGAATCAATTATTGGTTTTCCACAACATTTCGCGATCGTCCTTCATTGTCTTCATTGATTAATTGCCTCACATCAGACACAGTTGAACTCCACTGGTCATGGCTTCTTACTAGAACTCCAGGAAATCCATCTTCAAGGTAGTCACTAATAAGCACATGATAATTATCAGTATAGAGTTGTGGTGATTGTTGAGTATTTTTAAATTGAGATCATGAACCGATCGATGTTAGGCCATCATTGAAAACTGGGAAGCACTAAACATGAACATCGTTGGGTGCCAGCTCAGTGATCTAGAGTTTAGCCGTTCGCGCGTGAGACCAAAAGTCCTGGTTTCAAATCCCGTGCGCAGGACCGTGGATGCACACTGTTGAGGAGTCTCATACTGAGACGAATCGGCCATCCAATACTTCCAGGTTATCAATGTCAGTCTAAGATCGAGTAGTGGTCTTTAGTGTTAATAATTAAAAGTTCGTTACCAATTAGATTATTAATTATTAGTGATAAAAACTACAAAGTACCTAACGTCCATCTTGTGACTCATCAATTATATATATACATATGCATATTGAAAGTATTCAGTATAATATAGAATTCTTAGCACAAAGTATTTCAACAAGTTTCCATTTCTAAATTTCTTGATCAATAAGATAAGATATCGAATGATCGTCAGTTAGATGTTATTCATTCAGGAATCGACATCTAAATAATATTGATTCTCTTCAATGCATATTGGTAGCGACCACGATGTCGCTGATTGTGCTCTTTCCTAACTTCTACAGAGAAAGGTTAAAAACTTTGCACAAACACACCTGAATAGTTTGTGCAATTCATTCATATAATGATCAGTTGAAATAAACAGAAGGCATAACTTTTTGAAATATCTAAATGTCAGGAACAGGTCTCTCAGATATTTAAGCAGACTGCCTTTATTTTAATTAAGATCTATAATAAGCTTTGATTTATATTGTTAACTATCAATAAATATATTTTTTAGTGGATTAGAGGGAGGCGAAACCCGCGTCTTGCCTTTTGGATAGTGGGACGGATGACCCATGAAATCCACAAAGAATCACAGCACAATTACTCTTGGATCGAAAAACGATTAAAAATTCACAAAAGTGGTGTATGTACTGTACAGGATTGCTCCTTATGAAGCAAACTCAAACCAGTTGCAAAAACATCTATTCTAGTCCCGGTAGTTGTGCCGTGCTTCGATATGGCCTGTTTCTCTCCAAAACGGCCTACTAGGCTTCACCAACTTGTTTGACTGGAAGGAGCAACCAATGGATTAGAAAGTGATAGTAAATAGTATTGTTTATGTAGTTGATCATCTAAACTAAGTTTGATTGAGTAATAATGATTCACAAATCTGAATATTTGATATGAAGTCACACATTAAATATACTTCAAAAGACAGAATGTCTTTTTAGTGAATAGGAGTTGATTTATGTATTTTGAAAGATGTTGGATTAAGTTGTACATAGGGTTTTCAGTGTACAATATGTGTCTTGAATTCAGTACTTTCGGAACGGAGGGGGGAAGAGTATTATGAAGAACTCTTGAATAAGCCACTCCAACTGAACCCGCTGCACATCGAAGCAGCACACACAGACCTTTTTTTAGATGCCATCCCACTAACGATCAAAGGACTCAGGATGGGCATCAGACAAATCAAGAGTGGGAAATCAACAGAACCTGACAATATACCAGTTGAAGCTCCGAATTCAAACATATAAGATTTTCAACAGAGTGTTGCTGATCAATAGACATTCAGCTTCAAGAACAAATTAAAATACTGATGTTTTTTAGAAACTTTGTTGATTTATCGATTCAAGTGTGAAATCTTTAGTTAAAAGTAGCGTAATGCAATCACTTTGCGTTAGATATCTATGGGTATGTAGCATAAATGAGAATCAATTGTATCATTTCCCTGATACTCTGTATCTAAGTAATAGATACATTCAATTTAGTCAGTATAATGATTGATACAGCTCATGTTAATAATTACTGTGTATGTTTTTATCAGAATAAGTAAATTCGAATGGCGAGACTATAATTTATGGATAAACCAATCAGATTCAAGAAAATAGGTCTTGGATTATGGCGCGTAATTCACTCATCCATTTAGCTGATGTCGATTCGTGACGAAAACAATAATTCTAATTCTTAACCTTAACCATCAACTGTAAATCATAATTCTAATTCCTCACATTGATTTATAACTCTCATTTAATTTTAATTAGTAGGTGCATGAATAGCAAGATTCTCTGATATAACACAGAATGCACCAATCGAATCACATTTGATGGAGAAACATTGGAAGATGTAAAAGACATTTACATTTCTGTGCAGCATCATTGACGAACACCATGGATCTGATGCAGATGTGGAGGAGTGGATCAGTAAAGGAGTAGCAGCATGTCTACAATTGAAGAACATCTGAAAATCAAAACAACTATTTGTCAATCAACACCAAGGTCAGGATTTTAAACACAAGTGCAAGACAGTTATATTGTATGAGGTAGAAACTTGGAGAACTACGAATACCATCATATAGAAGATACAAATGTTTAATGACAGTTGTTTACACAAAATACTTCGAATCCGTTGACCAGACACTATCAGCAACAACCTACTATGGGAGAGAGCAAACCAGATCCCAATGGAGGAAGAAATCAGGAATAATTGCTGGAAGTGAATAGGATACATATTGAGGAAAGCACCTAACTGTGTCACAAGGCAAGCCTTGACACAGAATCCTCAAGGTCAAAGGAGAGGCAGAAGATCAAAGAACACATTACAACGAGAAATGGAGGACAGAGTATGTTTGAGAATGCTGGTCGGAGGCTTATGCACCATTGGGAATAACAGGCGTAAGTTACTAAGTAAGTAGGTGGATATTCTCAAGGTCACTTTAGAGTCTAATAAAAGTCGTTCATATGTATTATCATCTCACTCAAAAACGCTTCTTCAATGACTTAAATAAATAGAATTACTGGAAATATAACATACTTTTGTTTTAATTCTCTATCGAATATTATTTTTGTATAAATAGTTCCATCTAATTGATGAATAGTAAAGTATTCTTCACCATCTTGACTAAGTTGATATTTGATTTCAGCATTCTTTTCACTGTCTGCATCAGTTGCAATTACTTTATTAATCACTGTATTGATTGGACTATTCTCTTGAACAAAAAACTATTAGAATATTAATAAGGTAAAACAAAAGTCTATATATAACTATATCATAATGAATATACATATATATAAGGAAGTAATTATGTAACAGATGATTAGTTGCATAATAAATCTTGTCATATCTAAACTGATATATTCACTTGGTGTCGCTTCATTTTGATCAATTTCAGTCCTAAATAACAGTGGAAAGACACATCTCTTATTGGAATATGTTCATCCTATGCGGGTCGCCTCAATATTGGCTTAAGTCACAAGTTTTTTAATCAAAGATGGATAGTGGTTAGCAGTGGAATCCAGAACGAGCGTTTCGTTCTATTTGGGACCCTGACGCTCGAACCCAGTGCTGTTTGCTTGAAACGCCGCTGCGTTATTCAATTAGCTACTGAGATCTTATAGCCAATTGCTAGAAGCAAAAAGCACTGGATTCGATTCTTGGAATGAACATCAAATCTGAAATGCAGATATATCCAGTTGATGAGTCCCAAATAGGACGAAACGCACGTCAAACTGTATTCCACTGCTAACCACCATTCATCATTGCTTACAAAAATATTAAGTAATATTAAGTTATATACCCCTGACAACATATGAACGTAATTCTGTTAGTTAAAGATCGAAAAACCCAACCGCTTAAAGGAAAAATCTTGTATTATCATACAAAGTAAGAATCTGGCAAGATTATTTTACTGTTCTAACATAGTTTAATTCGATTAATTTAAGCAACAACATGGTAGCCACATAGTTTACGGAATAATTAAAATTAAATGAACACAGCCTGAAATAAAGTTGACACAGCTAGGGAATTAACTGATTAATTACAATTTCATTTGGAGCCAAAATCAAACGTAATATGAGAATGAATGAACAGAAACTTTTAAGTGTAATAACAAAGTGCTTTTGTCAAATGTTTTGTATTATACAGGGCAATTTTAATAAGATAATACAGATAACATGTATGTAATGAAATTTCCAGATAAGCAATCAATGATATACTTGAAGTAGAGGATCATTTTGTTTTATTTGAGTTCAGAATTAGTTAGATGTGTGAGCCAACAACAGTGATATGAATAGAACTTATAGCCTTTAGGCTTTATCGTAAATGAATTGTCTATATAGGAGCGTCCAGAGTGTAGCTGCTACCTTCTAGTGGTGATTGGGCCTGCCTATCGTGATGACCCAATCGAGCTATATTGGCTAGAACATGTGTTCCCGTAGGTTCAACCATGCCAGACAGGTCGATTGGAGAACTGAAAGCAGCAACTCAAAGTCTGAGGGTGAAGTCGTACTGCTGACTGCAGAGGTGTGTAACGGCAGTAAGGTGTTTCCCTCGGAAAACCAGCATCTGCAGCGATGCTGCCTTCTCACAAGGAAGAACGTGGTTAGAAAAGTCGACCCCGGCCGTGCGCGAACGGCCTCAAGCAGTTGTCCCTTGGGCTCTGATATCACGCTCCCAGGTGCTACGTATGCCCAACCACCGACTGCATCGACGTGCGACGTTCAGTGGTATAGGAGTAGGTTGGAAGAAAGCTAAAGGCGTCCGGACCAAAGCATGGCAAAAGTCCATGAAGTCACTGACAAGTGGACTGAGTTATGTTGGTAGATGTAGACTACCTGGTTGGAATCGCGAGACGATAGCAACCGATGGTTAGAGACCTTGAATGTAATGGCTCAAAGTCGTTTGCAAGGGCGCAGATGCATACACTCATTGTGTTCTCCCAAATAATAATCTTCTCAATTCTTCATGTCCCTTATTTTCTTTCCAAATTTACTTCACTGGATTATACTCCTTCAATAACATTTTCAAGCCCTAATCGTTCAGATTACTGCTTATACTCTTACCGCCTCTACCACTATGGGATTTGAATCGACAACTGTATCTCTGTGCTAATGTGGTGTGGCAACTCGAACTGATGTACGTATGTACGAAGTTCTACGTTGTTACTGACTGACTGGCTGATATAAGAGTATTCTCAAACTCTTTTTCATGGTTTATCTAATTATATTCAGTTTGTAATGGAAGATCCTGTCGTATGAAACAACAACCCATCAACATTCTCCATCCAACTCTGTCCTGGACAATCCTTTCCACTTCCAATTGCCCTTCATTCTTTTGATGCCTGCTTCAAGTTCTCAGCACAGTGTGTTCTTTGACCTTCCACTTTTCTGATTCCCTTCACGATTTCAAGTTAGCACTTGCTTCGTGATTCAGTTTGATGATTTCGTCAACGTGTATCCTATGCAATTACATCGTATTTTCCTAATTTCCTCTTCAGCCGGAATGTGATTTGTTCCCTCCCACAGTAGGTTGTTCCTGATGGTATCTGGTCAACTGACATTGAGTATCTTGCGTAAACAAATGTTTATAAATACTTTTACGTTTTTGATAATGGTTGTAGTAATTCTCCAAGTTTCAGTTCCGTACAGTAAAACTGTCTTTTCTTTAATATACACTCACATCAACCATAGTATTCAATGTCAAATTATTTTCTGTTGGTCGCATATATTGATTAGAACAATGGTCTGAGCTTTAGTAGCTAAAACATCAAAATCTTGTCTCCAGCCTGCTTCTTCAACTGATCAAAACTCTTCAACAGTGACTAAGGTCAACTTTACACGTGAATAACTGTCTTTAGTTTTCATAATAAGTACAATATTAACTATCCATCAAATCAGTATCCTAGAGGTATCTAACCTGTAAAATGAGTTTATTTCTGATGAAGTATGAGATTGTTGAGCTACTGAATAACTTCTATCGTAATTTACTTCACAATGTGTGTGTGTGACTTTAAATAAGGCATCTTTTAACCCGTAATCAGTAAGCAGGTAAATATTATTTACTTAGATAATCTCATGAAGATTCAAATTCATACTACATAGCAAACTAGTGGATTTCGAATAGGAAAACCGTTAGATAATTACTGTATGATATCACGATTACAAATGAGGAATCGCTGAAGTTACTTTTCAAGTGTTACATCAACAATATCCATCTTTGAAATTCCAGTTTCATAAATAGTAGTGTATTTGAAACTATGTTAATATTGCCTTTGAAGACTAATTATCATGCCTACTAGTTCATTCAAAGAAACATAATTCGAGCTAATCCGATTTAAGATGGCCAGTCTTGGACTATGAACCAAAATTTATCCATCCGTATATTTAAACAGTATTTCGCGATTATAGTTGTTACTGGATTGAACGAGATCACAAATGGGAACAGTCAAATGTGTTCGAATACGACATTACAGAACATCTTAGTAAAATCTAAGAATCATACAGTGAATACTGTCAATCAATTATCTCAAACTTGTCTGCTTCTTTTGTAAATATCAGTCAATGATCTTAGACTTCATTGTTCCTGCATTTCCATATCAATTTATTTTTGTTCCCGTTCTTTCCATCCTCCATCTTCTTGACCCTTTTCTGTCAGACATTGTAATTCTGACTAACATATATACAACACTTATGTCAATATAAGTAGTACACTACGATATCACTTCTTGATGAAAGCCCTAACTGTAATTCCCTATTCATTATAATAATACATTTGATGAATATACTGTCTAGGACTGATTTCAAACTGTTTACATATATATATCTATATCTGTATTACATAACTAGAAACCAGAAATACAGACACTTTTTCTCCTCAATTATGTTTTATACATAAACAAGAGAAAACTTCACATAGTGACTAATTCAGATTAACAATAAAATGCAACTTACATTATGATAATCTTTTGTAAAAACTGGTGGATTATCATTTAAATCTTGTACAATAACTTTAATCACATAACTGGATGTAAGACTTGGCATCCCATTATCACTGCATACAATCTATTGAATGTATTGAGAGAAAACAAAACCAGAAATAAAACAGAATGAGTGAAAAAAGAAACTGTGTCTATGAAAGATAAGAAGGGAGAAAAAAGAATACCAAATTGTAAGTGAAACAAAACAACTCCACCTGGAGCCTCTCTTAGGCCACAACCGATGTCAGGTCCGGATAAAAAAGTAGGGTTGGGTATTGGGTTAGCAACCCCATTCTGTAGTAAACTAACTCGCTAAAAAACGCTAACCAGAAAGAGTTAAATTCAATTTTGAAACTTTTTTTAAAAAAAATAACGTAATGAAGTAAATCTGGGTTACATTTAATGAATTACTAACACAGACTATTGGTTGGATGGTAGCAAGAAATATGAGATAAGTAGTAACCATGGCTAAATGAACAAACCACTTAATTTATTTCAATCATTAATGATCATCGAAAGATGTTCAAATTCACATGATTTCAATATCTTGATCCTTCAGTGTGTTCTAGTTTGAGTTAATGAAATTGTGTCTGGTTTTCTATGAATGTTTGACATTATGAATTGATTGGATGTTATTTCATAGGGTTTATTGGTTAAAGTACTTTATGGAAATGTGAAGTGTTTGTATTCGATATATGGGGAATTTGTTGATATATAATTGTTGAGATCATGAGTCAATTGAAGCTAGACCACCACCGAAAACTTGGAATCACTGGACGGCCGTTTCGTCCTATTGTGTGACTCCTCATCAGTGTGCATCCACGACCTAGGATATATCAGTCTCGTGCGTGAATGCGCGTTAATGTCTTACTTCAACCAATCCACGAAGTTGCACCACTGTCCAGATTTTCCATGGTTGTCTAGCTTCAATAGACTCATGAATTCAACAATTAAATTGAATTACAAAAATGTTCTTGGATTATAATTTGTTGATAGACAATACGGAAGAGTCTCATATTATAATGACACAACTGTCTAGTAATTTTCTACATTCTATGGTTTTCTAACTAAAATCGGTCGACGTTGTAAAACTACACATACTTGCTTACTTAAATTCACTTGTGATTGTTTGTTTGAATCTTCCCATTGATGTTTAGGACTGCAATTGATCAGTCTCATATTAGCATATATGCATACTATGCGTATTGTCTAGACATAGTCTTAATTCACGAACATTATATGCAATGATGAATATTGTCTAGCAGTGAAATCCAGGACGCGCTTTTCATCCTATTTGGTACTCATCAGCTGGATAATGTACCCACATCTCAGAGTTGATATTCACTTTGTGACTCGAGCACAGTCTCGTTTCGCTTCAAACAACATCGCATTATCTACTGAGCTATTTAAGAAATTGATCAAACTTTCATAAATAAACAAAACCATGACGTGTAATAGTTTTTTTTAGCGTTACATTTTGGTAGTAATTTACGTTTACATTACCGACATTTTATATGATTACGCAATAATATAAACCAACAACAATAACCACCACCACCACCATCACAACAACAACAACATACATAACAATTGAACTGTATCCAACATAAATTTCTATCCCATATCTAGTATATTCCAGTTTATACATTGAATATATATCATCTCTGTGTCAGTTTTTTGATTCTACAAATTACTACAATCATATAGAATCAGTTGAATTCATCTTATTGAATGTACTTTTTTGCATGGACATTTCATGATTTTGTTTTTAATGAAAGTGAATTGTAGATTTCCGACAATATTGATCACTTGTATTTGTGTGTGTGTGTGCGTGTGCTGTATGTGTAGGGGAGTGTGTGTGTGTGTGTGTGTTACAGATCGAGATATAAAAGAAAAACAGAAAAAATATAGATATGGCATAGCAACTGATATTAAGGATGAAAGAAAAATTTTGGTACGACGACAACAACAAGAACAACAAGAATTTTGACTTAAAAATTTATACATGTGGTTTAATTAATTATCAACCAATTTTTTTTTTCAATGTTAATCAACGATTCAATATTTTATGTTTGTCAATTTATACTACTACTTCGTTTGAAAAAGATATTTCATGTATTTGTAAAAATTGTTACTCTGGTTGTAAGAAGGGGCATCGGCTTTGTAATTTCCAAAGAACCTCGGCTTTCATCTTGAGGTATCATCAGTCTTCCGTCAACTCGAAGGGCAGAGTTTAAATGGTTTAATTTGTTTAATGTGGTTGACGTTCTTTTCTTCTTCTACGGGATGAATAACAACTGGAGAGAGAGGTGAAAAGGATTGCTCAGGACAAGGTTGGATGGAGAATGCTGGTGAGAAGTCTATGCTTCTCCACGAGGAGAAACAGGCTTAATGTAATGGTCTGAGAAAAAAAGTGTTTCTTTTATTTATTGGATAAACCATTCTCTTGCTGACCAAATCGTTGTGAAGCATTAAGAATAAAATTTTCATCATTTGTTTAAGCCGGTTATCGAATGTATGAAAGAAGTTATATTTTGTTCAATTATTTTTTACTAGAAAGGGGTTTAGTGGAGATTTTAGTGGTTTATTAATTGAATTCATGAGTCAAATAAAGCTAGACCATCATGTTAAGCCTCGAACCACTAGATGACTGTTACGTGTTAGTAGGGAACTCCTCAGTAGTGGATTGATTGAAATTACATATTAACACAATTGGATGTACAGAGGTTAAGCTTTTGGACACGAAACCGAAAGTCCTGGGTTCGAGTCCTGCATGCATGATCGTGAATGCATACATCTGAAGAGCCTCATACTAGGACGAAATGTCCACCTAATGCTTTCAGTTTTTTCACGATGATCTAGCTTTAATTGACTCATAAATTCAACTATTAAATTATTTTTTATTTATATTCGTGTATTAAACCTTGTTTTCTAGTGTTACTATATCATTATCAGATGTAGATTGATTAAGAGGATCGGAGATATTTATTGATCGATTATACAGCTCAAAGTTATTTGTGTGCTTTTATCGATCCAATTTATTCAATATTAATCAATATCATATTCACATATTGAAGAAATAACGTTCTCATGACTGATTTAAATGAGTAGGAAAATAACATAGTAACTAGAGAAGGAAACCACGTTCATTCTATATACAAGTGAACTATTTATTCAATGATATATACTTCGTTATTAGACAATTTAGCTCACACAAAAAAAAGTGTTTGTTGCTAAGCTTGTTAGTTAGTTGGTAAACTAAATATTGATAAAACGTGTTCTTTTATTCAGGATCAATTTCATGGAAGCCTGTACATATTGTTGGTTAATAATACTTAATGATTAACTTATCTCTCAATGACTCTCTTTTTCTTAGTTATCATGAGTATATTCATTAGTTTCAATGAATAGCAGAGGGTAAATAACAATTATATAAGTGTTACCATGATGAAAAACTGGTTGTATTGGCTTATTCAAAGTTTTCCTCATAATCAAGTAAGTGGTTTCTATGTTGTAATTTCAATTAACTAACTACAACTTTATGGATAGAAGTTAAAATAGTGTGCACTTCATTATTGTCAGAAATAGTTTCATTATCCTTTATGTTTTTAAATTACTGCTTACTTACTTACTTCCGCCTGTTACTCCTCGTGAAGGAGTATGGGCCGCTTACCAGCATTCTTCATCCAACCCTGTCCTGGGCAATCCTTTCCAGCTCCTTCCAGTTCCTATTCATCGTTTTCATATCTGCTTCTATTATCCGACGCAATGTGTTCTTAGGCCTTCCTCTTTTCCGCTTCCCTTTAGGATTCCATGTTAGGGCTTGTCTCACCAGGCAGTTTGATTATTTGCGTAACGTATGTCCTATCCATTTCCATCGCCTTTTCCTAATTTTCTCTTCAGCTGGAAGCTGATTTGTTCTCTCCCACAAAAGGCTGTTGCTGATGATATCCAGCCAATGGATGTTGAGTATCTTGCATAGACAGCTATTTGTAAATACTTGTACTTTCTTGATTGTGGTTGTTGTAGTTCTCCAAGTTTCAGCTCCATACAGTAGAACTGCCTTGACATTCGTATTGAAGATTCTCACTTTGATGTTGGTTGAATGGTGTTTTGAGTTCCATATGTTCTTCAACTGTAAGAATGCGGCCCTTGCTTTGCCAATCCTCACCTTTACGTCTGCATCTGAACCTCCTTGTTCATCGATTATGCTTCCCATGTATGTGAAGGATTCTACATCTTTTAGAGTTTCGCCATCAATTGTGATTGGACTGCTGTTCTCCGTTTTGAATTTGAGGATCTTGGTTTTCCCCTTGTGTATGTTGAGGCCTACTGATGCAGAGACTGCTGCTACGCTGGCTGTTTTTATCTGCGTTTGTTCGTGTGTATGGGATAGGATAAATTATTGCAGCATAATTATAATTTAGCTGAATCCGAATTCAGAATCATTTTAATTCAATTGTATAGACTAGTAACTTGTAGTTTAAGCTAACACCTCCCCAAGTTATCAAAAATTACTCAGAATAGGAAGTTGATAGTAATTTGTTGACTATAAACTGTCTGCTCATTCATTTAACTGAATTTTGTATACATATGGTGTATTTAACAAATCGTAAGTTCTATTTCTTCTATTACTTCCCATCTTAACAACTTGTAATCGACATATCTATTATATCCCGATGAGAATAATGAATGGTAACTGATTGGAACTAGTTCTGGATTAATACTAAACATGTATTCATTTATTGTATAGTTGTTATGTAACTGAACTATACATATTCATATTCCTCTTATTATAAGCTTTATTGTGAACTATGAATTACTAGTATACGATTTACCATTTTTGAGTTATACGCAGTCTATTACTTACTATCTCCCACTGCGGTGCGTGCTAATTATATTGAAATAAGTAGTATATAACGCGAGTCAGGAATGTAATGTCTGGCGGCAGAAGATTAGGAAGATCAAGAAAGAAAGAGCGGGAATAGAAAGCAATTAGTATGGAAATTCAAGAACAATGAAGTTCGAGACAGTTATTGAACATTTTGCATATTAAGCACTATAGTATGGTTTTTTTCTATTTTACCAAGTAACTCTGTAATGTTGTGCTAAATATAATTCGGTTGTCCTCACCTGTGTTCTCCGTCACTACACCACATTTGGCTAAGTCTTGTACAAATGTTCTTTCCTATTTTATGGTACGATGTGGTCTGTTTGATTTGTATATAAACCCACTATGCTTGAAATATAAGGATCCATATTGCAGAGGCTGAGATTGGTGTTCTGAACTCAACAGGTAGGGCTAGGCAGGATGAAGAACCGATAAGGGATCTAAACTGCTCGTATAGATTTATACGTGATTGGTTCGGTTGATAATTGACTGTTTTCTAGTTGGCGTTATCGTTACGTTATACATCGATAAGGGCACAAGTTATAACAATATCCTATTTTACCTTCACGACTTACTTACATGACGCTTACGCCTTCTTTAATGTTATAATATTCAATCTATCTTATATACCGGTAACTTTGTATCATTTTGGTGGCAATAAGATTCGACTATGATTTTTCTAATTATTTTTACTTAATTACATTAATTGTTATTCGTAAGATGCATCTCTGAAATTGAGGTGGTGGAGAAGATTTGTAGCTCAGGTGGAGGATTTTGTTCTTTGAGCTGGATGGTTTGTTCCACAATAGCAGACATTGATTTCAATGTTTGTTGAATGTGTCGCATCAAACACTTTCCGTTATTCGTTCATTTACTTGGGAATCATTATACACTGTAGTTTAATTTTCATTAAAGGTTTCCATTTTAAGATATAACTTAGATCAGATTTAGTTTTTCCATTTCATATTAAGTTATACCACACTGAACATGTCTATGACAAATAGTTATGGATAGCTTGAGCCCATTTATCTTGATTGTATTGAATTTATAAACTCTATCTTTAAATGTGTTTTAAATCAAGTTCTACTCTAGGCTTTCTCTCGTCTGTTTACAATCTATCCATATCCTATTCATCAAAAAGTTCAGAGGAAAACCTATCCGAGTATACCTACAATTAATTATGTAAATTATCAACTTCTAATACTCTCACTGAAGATCCTCAAAGCCAAAGAAGGTGAAGAGGAAGACCAAGGAACACATTACGCTGAGAAATGGAGACAGACATGAGAAGAATGAACAAGGATTGGATAGAACTAGAAAGGAAGGCTCAGGACAGAGTGGGTTGAAGAATGCTAGTCGGCGGCCTATCCGCTATTGGGGGTAACAGACGTAAGTAAGTAAGTAAGTAAGTACAGGTAGCATAGGTTAGTCAGTGACAAGCTAATCAGTACATCTTTTGCTAGCACAACAACTTCAAAAATATGTGGATTAAGGTTTGTTGATCGAACACTTATCATATTAGTTTGGCAGATTAACATTGCAAATATCAATTAAAGCACAATTTCTCACAGTATTGTAGATCGAAATTTCAGTTAGATAAAACTTTCAATCCCAGTTACACGACGAACACACATTACTCCACAACATTATTCGATGTCTCTCTAATAAGCGATAAAAAAAGAAGTTTGATGAAGTCACAAGCTATCATTCCAATTAACCAAGTTGACGGGACTGCAATTTATGGACAAACTAATCAGGTATAAAAAATAACAGATCTGGCATTTCAGCGCGAATTTCACTCATTTATTTGGCTAAATAGAGTTTTGGCATCATAACTGATGTCATTTCATAATACAAAATCCTAAATCTAATTCCTAATCTTAACCATCAACTGCAAATCATATTTCTAATTTCTCACATTGGTTTGTAACCTTCATTTGGTCCTAGTTATTACGTGCACACTCTTAAGGTCACTAGCGTCACTTAAAGATCATACATAAATTTATAGTCTCACCTACAACAACATAAATGAGTTCAGTAGTTGAGATCATGAGTTATTTAAAGCTAGACCACCACCACCATGGAAAACTTGGAAACACTAGACAGCTATTTCGTCTTAGTATGGCCCCCAAATTCACTGGTATGACCGAGAGTGGGGTGAGCCCTCTCTCTCGAAATGCTCTCACATGGCTATGTGTATACAGCCTCTGTCAGGGAAGTCCTACTCACTGCCTTCTCATGGTGGGGGTGTTGTTTACGAAAATGAGAGGACGAAAGGCGAATGTCCGGGGCTCTAACCGGATCCCAAACCAATGGTGCACATAGACACCAGTATCCTGAAGGAACAAATGGCGTATGAATCAATCGTTGGTCACCCCTAAGGAAACCACCTGCTTCGGTCTGGGCACTCGGGCATTATCACAGCCCACACACAAACGGAATGAAATGACAATACTTACGGAAAATACTATACTTGCCTCGATTAACAGTCAAACGATTCACGTTATTATTATTATTACTTACTACGTCATTTACTCACTCTCTTTTATTCCCACTTTATGTATCCTTATTTTCCGACATATACAGCAGCTCGTCTATGGTGGAAACTCAACTCTGTCTAAACGTTCTCGAGTCATTACCTGGTTGGAAATTGTATGCTACCACCAAATACGTTTGATTATTCTACAGTGTGGCGCATATATATTTGATGCCTTCTTGTACCAATATTTATGTGTTCAAATAAATAAATCAATAAATAAAATGGCCCTCCTCAGTAGTGCGCATCCACGATTCCGCCTCACAGGATTCGAACCCAAGACCTATCAGTCTCGCATGTAAGCGTTTCACATCTCATATAAATAACCTTGAAACACACTATTTAAAACAAATGAACAACAACAACAACAACAATACCATTTAACTTACCTTTACTGATTCTGTTTTACTAAATTCATAATCAAATCCATAAATTGTATTTAATTCATAATTGAAATTAGATATTGGATTTAATTGAAACATTCCAACAATTGAACTATGAGTTATAGTACCAGTGGTACTACGAATAGTACTAGTACTAGGAGTTGGAATGAATGACAAATAATGATTTTGTTCATTCAATGTATATTGTGTTGGATAATGTAACTTGGATCTAAATGCTTTATCATTATTATCATTGTTATCTATTGTATTTGATTCTAGATGACATTGAAATGTACCACCGGGACCAGTATCTGGATCATTTACAACTACAAAAGCTAATAATTGTATCATAGTTGGTAATAAATTATCATGAGTAGTATATTCATTTTCTAATTTATAATTCATTATATTATGTCCAGGAGTTTCATTAATATACACTTGTAATATATTATTCTTATATTGATTATGATGATTATCAATAATCGATTGACTTGATGAAATACGATTAACTGATTCTACTGTAATCTGTGGTGCAATATCATTGATATCTGTGATATAAACACTAATGATTGCTTCATCAAATCCTGGATGATTCGATTGATCACGAGCTATGACACGTAGAAGATGATGTTTTGATATTTCATAATCTAAATGTCCATTTATGATTAACCAACCAGTTTTAGAATCAATTTCAAATAAGCTTTTCTTCATTTCATTACTATTATTAGTAGTATGAGAATTGTTATGTAATTGACGTTGATTGGAATGATCATTACCATTCGATAGCGATGATAATGATGATGAGGATGATGAGGATGATGATGGTGGTTTAATGTTGACATCATTATTTATTAAACTATAAATAATTTGACCAGATTTTCCATCATCTGGATCATCAGCAATTAATTGTATAAGATGTAAACCTTCAGGTGAATTTTCTGGTACACTAATCATTAAACTTTTATTACGAAATATAGGATGATTATCATTTTCATCAGTGACAATGATCTAAAATTAGGATGTAAATATCTGACTGACATTACATTATTAAATAGAAGAAATCATGCATTCATAATTGCTTAGTATTGAGTTTTACCATTCGATTCATGTATAAACTATACAACTTATGAGATGTCGTTTTTATTTATTTATTTAGACACATAAACATGGATGCAAGAAGGTACCAAATAGAGTGGTGGGATAGTGCCCTGGTGCTCAAACCGAATCAAATGGTTTCCTTAGGGGACCACACCTGAAGGTCTGATCAACAAGTTAGTGGAGCAACGTCAGAAGATGCAGTTTCATGGTAGTCGTTAACCAATAATTGCTTCATATGCCATTAGTTACTTCAGGATTCCGGAGCCCATGTGCATCATTAATTTGGAATCAAGGTTTTCCAACTACCCTTGGTGGATCCTCTATATCCACCAACTTGGTTAAACGCCAGAAATTCACTTTTCCTTCTCTTCTTTTTTAGACAACGACCTCTCCACGAGGTGTTTGTGATTAGGACTTCCTTGGCAGTAGTTGTATGCTAGTGGCCATGTGAGATCATTTCGAGAAGGAGAGCTGACTTTCCTCACTCTCGGTCGTACCAGGGCAATTGGAGGCTGAGTGTAGTATTAAGAGTGGGATGTGTCGTACTTACTATACGGATGAGAACACTAAAATGAGAAGTGTTTCATTATTAAATTGGATCACGATATACACAAATCATATTTAAGTTTGTTTTCTTCAAATCTGAACAAAGATGTACAGTTCGAATGTGGAGATTTTGGAAATTTCAACCCCTTCTGATATTAATCAACATCTACTCACTAGTGACTGACTTCAAGATGCATTTCCTGGAGTTCTTTTAAGAAGCTGTGACCAGTGGTGTTCAACCAGGTCTGTTGTGAGAGTGTATTTAGTAAATACTCAGTTAAAACTGTCGTGGATGCGGAGGAATAGACCAATAATTATCATGTTAAGTCCAATGGTGTCCTTGGACTTTAAATGGACATTTCCTATTGGTCGACATCTGTTCACTTGTTGAATATTGTACAAAATGTTGTTTTCTATTTTATGGTACGATGTGGTTTGCTTGATTGGTGCATAAACAAAGTATGTTTGAAATATAATGATTCATAACTCAGAGGCTGTGCCTTGTGTTCTTGACTCAACTGGCTGGGCTAGACAACGAAGCAGGGTCAATCAGGGCACTAGGTCGTCCATTTACGTGTTTTGCGTGTCCACTGTAATCGATCGATAAATAACGCTGCGTATCAAAACCTGCAGTCCACCCGTTACAACAAAAACGTTTCATGGGCTAATCAACCCAAAAATCTTTACTGCTTAACAAGTCAGTTATTTACAATTTTAAGGAGGTTACATTTAATTCACTTGGTGTTGTTTTACTTGTATCTCTAGATTGTTATTTAGGGTTGCAACTGACCAATCTGTTGTTAGCATATGTGCACCCTGTGTGGATTGAGTTGATATAGCTTTAAGTCACAAACTATTTAAGCGAAGATATATAGTAGCTAGCAGCGAAATCCAGGATATGCGTTTCGACCTATCTTGAACTCGTCAGCTGCGTATATCTGCATCCCACAGTTGATGTTCACTCCGTGTCTCGAACCCAGTACCGTTCGCTTCAACACACCATCACGTTATCCACTTAGCTACTGAGAGCTGATAGCCACTTGCCTGTGCGATGGGTCGCGGAGTGGACATTAACTCTGCGATACAGGTACAGTCAGCTGACGAGTCCCAAATACGACGAAACGCACATCAAATTGGATTCCACTGCTTACCACTATCCATCTTTGCTTAAATTTTGCAACTTAGTTTCCATAGAACTGATACAACAGACGTATAAACCAATATCAAGGATTACATGAAATATAACAAGAACTTGATGATGATCACTTTTTTGTATAAATAAGAACTTACCATCAAACTCATTTCACCGGTAAATGCTGGTGATCCATTATCTTCAGCATTTAATATAAATTGATAGTTACGTTTAGTTTCCCAATCTAATGGCTTCATAACTTTTAAATATAATTGTTCTGGTCGATTTTGATATGGTAATAATTGATTTATTGGTGATAATGTATTCGGTTGATGATAAGTAAATGGATATTCCATTTGTCTATTATAAGATAAACTATTATAATTTGAATAGATTAGTTGATTATTATCATTATTAATTGAGGTAGATGGAACTAATGAAGGTAGATTATTGATTAATTCATTTGATAATTGAATCAATTCAAATGTATCATCACCTTGTGTAAGTAGTTGATAACTAAAACAAAGAAAAAGGAAAACAAGTACAAAATAACTATGGTTTTCATCATTGTGCTTATGATGTTGTTTAGAAGAATGATGAAAGATCTACGACCAAAATATTCAGCTCAGAGAACAAAACTCCATCATAATAGTTGTCATATTCTTCAATTATATTATTACGTGTACTTTCAATAAGATTCGTTTTACAATCGGTCATGGAAGAGAGAAGACTCTGTCAGTCAATCAGTCAGTTACAGTGTAGGACCAGGCACATATATGCATTGGTCCAAGTCACCACACATCATTAGCTTAGCAAGTTGAACACCGGATTCATAGGAAGGGTTAAGTCAATGGTGGAAATATATAAAAGAAAGCTTGCATACAAGGATATAATACAGGAAAAAGAACTAGTTGGTAGAAAGAAAGATATAAAGTAATTTTAATCTCGCGGTTTAAGTGAAGACAAAGATTGCACACACCTACATCATTGTGATCGATTCTGAGTCATATCACACAGAATCTCCAAACATTGGTTGCGATAGTCACGCGGACCCCAATCAAGTAGTCTACATCTACCAACACGACTAAGACTAGAACATAGTGAGTTTGTGGACTGATGCCACATTTAAGTTTGGCCACCCATAAGTTCCTTCTAACCGTCTCCAACACTAATCAGCATTGCGCATCGTGGTAATGGGTGTTCAGGCATACGTAACACGTGGCCTAATCATTTCAGTCGATGAAGATTCACAACCTCATCAACTGATTCACCATCGTTCCCTAATACCCTGCATCTAACCTCACTATTGCTTACCCGATGATACCAGCAGATGTGAGCAATATTTCTAAGGCATCTGTGATCAAATCTTGGGGAAGGCGGGATCGTGGGTTCTCACTCCTGAAGAATCTCACACTAGGACGAAACGGCCGTCCAGTACTTCCAGGTTTTTCATGGTGGTCTAGCTTCAATTGACTCATGATTTCAACTACTGACATTGTTAGAATTGGATGGCTTTGTTATTAAACTTTCATAACCCTTTTTCAACACATCATCAACACGTAAAGTAAAAGAGAAGAAAATAACACCACAGTGATGCAACACTCACTCACTGAGTAAATAGGAGTTTAGCTAAATTTACTGAATACACTAGATTTGATAAACATTGAATAGGTTGAGGACAACCTCTGAAGTTGTCTACTTAAAAATCTAATCAAATATGTCTATTCATGTATGGACGTTTAAATTCTTTAAGTAGTAGTATATAACTGTAGTCAGTAGTATATAACTGTAAAGCGATAAAAACGAGTGGTGTTAGAAGTACACATAAAGTTAAAGAAATTGGATGTTGCATTAGATAGAATTATTTTCAAGATATTGTTATAGAGCTACGTCTGCGTAATCACCTGGTAACCAGTCTGTGTACATTACACATCAGTATCGTACTAGTGCACTGCATATATGTATAATATATATATGTAAGTAGTATATTAGGGTTTCCTTGAAAAATACTATCCGTTATATCTCATCACATAGTTAGTAGTAATATCTATGCCATTGTACTTACTTACTTTACTTACTTACTTACGCCTGTTACTCCTCATGAAGGAGCATAGGCCGCTCACCAGCATTCTTCATCCAACCCTGTCCTGGGCAATACTTTCTAGCTCCGTCCAGTTGTAGTTCATCGTTTTCATATCTGCTTCTATTATCCGACGCAATGTGTTCTTAGGCCTTCCTCTTTTTCGCTTCCCTTCAGGATTCCAAGTTAGGGCTTGCCTCGTGCCCACCATCAATTCCTAGATAATTCCCCCCCCCTCATGTTCCATTCCAACTTGTTTTGTTGTCTTGTTTAATTCACAAAAGTACTATCCTCTTTGTCCAAAAAGGTGTCTTTTTTTCGTAAAACTTAATTACTTTGTATTTGTCAATGTGTACGTGATGCTGTCGTTATCCTTGTGTATCTGTGTGTGTGTATGCTTACATCAATGGTTTTATATGATTAAGAAGTTGTTCTTCACTTACAGTTATGACTTTATTCGATAAATATCCTTTTCTTTGTTGGCTCACTCTCTCTCTCTCACTCCCACTCTCTCTCTCGCTAGCTTGCTTACTCCCTCTCTGTATCGATGTAAGTCACGAAAACATGACATTTTATAACTGTTTAAGTAATACAATTTTGTTGTTTCTATCACTTACAGATAATATTAACAGTATTATCACAGCTGGTCATACCCTCACACACACACAGACACACACACACACATAAAACTGAACACGTTTAAATGTAAAGTTTACTTTTAACAAAACAAATTGTTTTTCTATCGGAAAAATTAAGAAGAAAAGTGAAAGAACACCATTGCAATTCATAAGAGTCAAGTAATCAGTTAATTGTAAAGAGAAGTTTAAATAAACACCATATCGATAAAATAAAGTTTCTTATGAATGGTATTCATTTTTTTATTGAGATGATGAACCGATTGATGTTAGACTACCGTTGGAAACCTGGAAGCACTGGACGGCCGTTTCGTCTTATTGTGGGACTCCTCAGCAATGCGCATCCACGATCCCGCTCCCGGAATTCGAACATAGGGCCTTCGGTCTCGCGCGCGAACGTTTTACCTACTGGACCACTCAGCCAACATCAACCGACCCATGAAATTGCGCGACCAATTTCCATTGTACTGAGGTACATACCTGTCTCTACCCGACATAGATTAGCTCCACTGGTCACGGCTTCTCACTTTCGGATTGGGCACCTAGGCAGTATCCAAGCGCTTACATAAATCAAATGATTTATATAGTGCATATCTATTCGGTGCCTCCTTATATCAATGTCCAGTTCTTGCAAGTTTCCAGAGGTGGCCTAACACCAATCGGTTCATGATCTTAATAAAAAAACTTAATAATCTCCACAACCCCTATGATGGTATTCATTATTTCTTTGATAAGGATAATAAAAACACTATCTCATTGGTTGAGATCATGAGTCGATTGAAGCTAGATCATCAGAAATAACTGGACGACCATTTTATCTAAATATGGAACTCCTTAGCAGTGCACATCTGTAATCCTGCCCCACGAGATTCGAACCTAGGACCTATCAGTCTCACGTTTGAGTGCTTAACCATTAGATCACTAAGCCAGCCGGCAGTCAATGACCATCCACTGCTTCCAGGTTTTCTATGGTGGTCTAACTTTAATTGACTCATGATGACCTCGACCATTGAAATCACTATATAATATCCACAAAAACACTATTATTGCTTATGATAGAGTTTTATTCTCTGTACTGGATAATATTGTCATGAAGCTCTTATTGTTATTCTGAACGATATTATCAACACAAACTTCAAGTAGAAGTGAAGTGTTCGAATTTCACCACATATAGAGGTCTACAGGAGAAGCTATAAGCCAGATGTGGAGAAATTCGAACACTTTATACTATACAATTACTATACAATTAAAATTATAGATCACGAATAGTCTTATCTGTAGTTGAGACAGTCAAAAGCAGATAGTTTTCAGTTAATATCAAAAGGAGGATTTTGTGGAGATTGTAGTAATCCAATAGATGAATTCATGGATCAATAAAATGCTAGACCATCATGAAAAACTTGGAAGCACTGGACGGCCGTTTCCTCCTTGAAATTATGAGTCAGAATTGTAATCAGTCAGTTTCTATTAGATTATGTACACCGTGAAAGGATTACTTCAGTTGATCCTTGATGTCAGCAATGTATAATGAAAAAATATATTCTAGATCTCTTGGCAGTGTGCTCCTCGGAGGATTAAACCTAAAACTCCTGGTTTTATGACGAGCGTTTAACCTCCAGTCTAATAAGTTGGCATATAATATTTTACATATCTAGCTTCAATCGATTCGTTATATTACACAACCATCATTATTTGTCCTAACGGAGTAACGTATAACATAGAGCATGGGTGAGCCTCACTAATCACAGATTATCACTGAAACTCCTATTTTAAGTCTGTTACTAATGAGAAGACAAGTATGATTAGTAAAGGAGGTTGTGTTACAGATTGTTGTATTTCAATCGCTTACACCACATACTGATCCAACATAGTTAACTACATGTCAAGATACAATGTGTTTACCGAAAGACTTAAAGATTCTAAGTTTAATCTCATTTGAATTATTGAGTGTTCACAGTAGTTCACAATATAAACCAGTTAGTTAAAATCAGTTTAGAGCTGGGTATAAATGGACATCTACCCAAGTTAACACACCACACATTGATGGCCTAAAGGGGAAAAATGAGGCTATAAAAAAGGGTTGAATGCGGGAATATAAAAGTTTCTTAAGAGTTGAATAAGGGGTTTAATCAGGATTATGATGATCTTTAATGCTATGATATATATCATCCAGAGTGTCGAAATCGATCAGTCACTTATTGGTAATTGTGCATCCTGTAAGGATTGCTTCAATAATGCCTTAAGTCACAAGCATTATAAACAGAAATGGATGGTGGCTAGCAATGGAATTTACGACGCGGATTTCGTCCTATCTTGGGACTCATCAATTGGATTTACCTGCATTCCAGAGCTTGAACTTAGTAAAGTTCACTTCAAATGCCATCGCATCATCCACTTAGCCACTGAGTTCAAATAACCACTAGGTTGTACAACGGGATGAAGTTTTATTCATTATTTGTATTGGTTGTTTGAATCTTCCCATTAATGTTAGGGATTGCATATTATCAGTCTCTTATTGGCATGAATGCATTCTGTGCAGCTTGAATCCCGAAGTAAACATCAACTCCGGGATTCAAATACATCCAGTTGACGAGTCCTATATAAGAAGAAACGCACTTCCTGAATTACATTGCCAGTCACTAGCCATCTCTGCCTATAAGGAAACAATTGTTTGAAGCAAGTCATACATAAATAGATCTTTGTGTATTAGGCCAGAATTTTAAACGTAATACAATTGTCTACAAAATGAATGAGGTAAAGTAAGTTATCCTCTTACTACAGTCAACTTTTCCTAACATTCT